TGACCATGAAAATTAAGATTAAAAAATAAAAATACGCGCTGAAGGTTGAAAAATATAGGAATTATGCTCCACTGGGAGCATGGTTTTCAAGGATCCATGTATATATAATGTATATATGTTAATCTTAGGGGGGATGATGGTAGGTTCCGATCGGCTGATCAAAGAATTCGCCTCGGGGGAAATCGGAAACCAAGATCCATGGAGATTTTTATCTGTTTCATGTTGGGTAATGTGGTCAACTGAGGGGTTCCTTTGCAGAAAGAGGAGAGAGAGAGAGAGAAACATGTGGGCCCACAAAATCCAAGGAAATGGGGCAGGCAGAAGAACCCAATGGGGGGGGGAGGGGGGCTTGACTCTACATCACATGATGCATTTAATGTGGTCAACGAGAAAAGGGAAACAAACATGGAGCCCAACAAAGTATCAGCCATATCAGATGCCTCAACCATGGAGGAAATCAAGCATGATGAGGATCATTCCTATTACTAGAGAGAGAGAAGAAAATAAAAGAAAAAAGCGAACAGGACATGGACATCATCAGACATCAGACATCAGATTTAGAAAACCAGAGGAAGAGGATAACGATGAGGATCGCCACCTCTTTCAATCTTTGCGTTGACTTGATTAGGTGGGTGATTCAGAAACAATATGTTCGAGAAGAAAATGATCAAATTGGGTAAATGAGTACTTACGTTTGCCAGCATTTCATTATAATGTCTGCTACGGCGGGGTCAACGTCCCCTGGGATGTCAAGTTGCCGCTGCTGGAACCCGACGGCGCCGACGACCTGCATGGGGTTCATCCCCCCCCAGGGCTGTTGTAGGGTGCAAAGCTCCCACAGTATGACCCCGAAGCTGTAAACATCGCACCTGAAACGGCATCCACAGGTCTTCAGCGGGCTTGTAACACACTAAAAATAGATAAAAAGTAACCAGGAGGAGCTGATCTTCGTCAGTGGGAACCAAAAAAAAAAAAAAAAGGATTATAGAGCATACTTTTCGTCGGAGGGTTCATTACGCAGCACTTCAGGGGCCATCCACTCGGCCTGGATACAGAGGAGAAGGTTGAAATTCGTGAGTAATTTCCATTTCGGGCAAAATCTCAGCTTGAAGATATAGTCAGATGGATGCTGCGGGCGACACCTAGGAGCGGACAGACTGTGTGCTTCATGCGTTATGAATGAGACATTTTTTCTATGAAAAGCAATGTTGATCCATGAAAAATCGATTTATACTTGGAACGCCGGTATTGAACAAGTTGATCCATGAGAAATCAATTTATCACTGGAGCACTGTTCTGTCAATAAATCCAGCGGAGGCGTCGAAGTTATCTGGAGTAGACATTGCTAACCATGTCATGGCCCTTCAAAATTATCTCACAGTTTCAAAAATGATGCTATTAAAAGAAAAGATGGGAGAGTTTTGTTAGCATCAGATCTTCTCAGATGTCTTCCCCGACGACAATGAGAGATCTAAGGCTTGAGATTATTATTTTTAATTTCTATTTATTTCTTCCTTTCCACCGAGAAAATGGATTACAGCATATCATGTGTGTATGTGCCGACTTCACTTCCTCACCAAAGATCCATGAAGTTACTGCTACTTTGTCACCGACTTCACCTTGAACCATTGGTGACTGGGAAGATCATGAAATATTTTTCCTTGCCCGATTAGCAAAGTTCTCCAGCAGGAAGAAATTGCTTCAGGAGCCATCAATTCTGATTTTTTCTTTACCAAAATTGGTTATTCTAATATTGACAATAAAAGTTTTTTCCTTATGCAATGAGCTAGCGTTGATCCAGATGATGCATCTAGAAGGCAAGCATGGATCAAGGGTTGATGATGACTAAGAACCCTGAACAAATGGATGGTATATAAGCACACCGTTCTCAAAATTTTGTGAAATCTTTACAAAAGTTGCAAAGGAGAAAGAATACATTGGCATGAAAAAAGTCCAAAGACAGGGATAATGGGACGTGGAGGATGCTCACCGTTCCAGCCATTGATCTTGACGAAAGAAAGGTGCTGTGCTTCATTCGAGATAAACCGAAATCGCAAACCTGTGTGTCGGTGGAGAGATTAAATCTAGGAAAAATCTGAATGTTGGGTGTTGGGTTGCCGTGACATTACCTTTACAACCCAATTCTTGTCCACGAGAAGGTTAGGGGACTTCAAATCCCCGTGCACAATCGTAGGAGTACCGTTGTGCAGATAGTTCATCCCACGGGCCTGATATTCAATCCACCATCCCGAGCATGTTAAAAAGGGCATAGCATCCGGATAGCGGAGATTCCAGACCTATTTGTCCGATAATCAATGCACAGAAACTACTAAAAACATACCACGTCAAGTGCCATCCTCAAACGTCTTCTTTCATCTAATTGATTGTTAGGCCTGTGAATTAGCCTAAACAAGCTACCCCTGGAACACATGATATGCAGCACTTTACAGCTCACTAAATAATTTAAAGAGTGCCATATTATACAAGAATGATAGCATATTTGGAAAGTGAACCAACAAAGAGTGCGAATAAATATATGCAACAGGAAGGGAGTCCATGTGCCTGGAGCTATTATTATTATTAGCAAGTAATTTACCACGATGGAAGAGGAAAAAAACCCCAACATGTTGACTTTGACAAAAGATTTTCTAATCTAAAGTCGCCAACTACCCCTTCCCCACGTTTTGCTAAGAATACATGACATATGGAGGATTAAGATATAACATGATGTGGAATAAATTGTGAGGTAGCGTTCGAAAAAGGATAGGAAAAAAAAAAATCAACTGAGATTGCAAGACGTGGAATTTGGAGATGTCCTGGAAATAAATTGTGAAGTCCTGGAAATGTTTCCACGGAGGGTAACAATCTTCCACTCAACAACGCTTCAAGCAACTGAGATTTGGAGATTTCCTTAAATAATTTCCAAAGGTGGGCCTATTGGGCTGCTTTATCGAAATGTTATCTATAAGCTTTGCCGATAATGCTCTCTTAGGACTGAAATCTCTTACAGCACCAGGAGAACGTGAGAGGATAAGAAAAAAATGAAGTTGAAGAAAAAGGAAGAAAGGCAGCAGGGCTTCTATAGCTGGTCTTCATTGATCACGTTGACAGGTAACTTTAATCCCTATATCAATGCCTTCCTTGGATCCAAATTGAATGCATATCCTTCGATATGACAAACAGCAGAGATGTTCCTTAGAGAGTGGAGAGCTTTCTGTATTAATTCAAGGATAGTGCTCCCATGCGAGACTGTACATAATGCCTATAACTAAACACATGTTTCACACAGACAAATGCATAAGCGTGTATGATCATTTGCATAAAGAAATGTATATGAACTAAGAATTTGAGGAGAGTACAGATATATGCCAATATGTTGAGGGTACATACGTGGGAATAGATGCTTATCGTTTTAATAATGGCTGGGTAGAAGTGAGAACTTTGATTCACTGTACGAATAAAAAAGAAGCTGTAAATTTGAGGACATGCTCTGAATGGATCGCTGGAGGATAACTAGGAAATCGGGCCGGATTTCTCTCCCACACTAGTGGCAGAGAAAATTAGGACCTGACCAAGAAAAAAAGAATTCTGTATTTTTATAGCGTGCTTAAAGTTGACAACAAATTAAAAACTGAAGACAGGTACAACTGTGGTTACATATGGGCAGAATCACAGGCCAAGCATCAGGAATTGGGGACCGACAAGAATATGAGAGAGGCTAGAGGGTAGAGTAACAGTACAGAACCGTTTATGATGCTAGTTGTTTTCCAAGGTTGTAACTTTGCACTGTTTATGTACAGAACAGTACAGAACTTATGCCTTCTGCGCATTATAACTTGACTTTATCATGGATTTTATTAGCTCTGCGATTCCAAAATTTGATTAATTTGTGTTGCATTATGCTAAACGTACTTAAATAGGCCAAAAAGTACGAGCATACCTAGGAAGAAATTCAGTAATTATGGAAAGGTTCGGCACACGAGTAACAGCTCCCATGAAGAGAACAACATTGGGATGCCGTAATCTTTTCATTATCTGGACCTAAGGAAAGAAAGATGTACTTTTAGTTGCTATGTAACATCCAAATTCCCAAAAAATACAACAGTTAAGAAACAAAAAACAAATTAGATTAGAAAACTTCAAAACAAATTGCTATGCGAAGAACAGACTTCATGTGCAGGGGACAAAATTCTGCGACAATTTTGCAAGAGAAGCATCACGGGTAGAGACATGAATGAATATCATGAAACAAAAATGGAAGCAACATGCTAAGGTCGCATTTAAGCAAGACAATAATATCTGAAATTAAAAATAAGAATTACATTTGTAAAAACTTACGGTGACAGAAAATGTAGAGTTAAGCTATGGAGAGCAGTTCAGAACAATAAGCATCCATCAAAGGTAAAAAAACCTTCTTTGGAAACTAGTTAAAAAGATACAAACCACATCCATAAATAAAATTTTCAGGTCTAATATCCATAAGAAATTTATTTGTTCTCATTTGCATAACAATACCATGAGTCAACCTTTTGAGAGGTGTGGCCTTAACATGTCATCGAAGATTATTCAAAAATATGGTCCATTTTCAAATCGTGGGATCAAATTGCAGAAAATTTGGTTTTCTTTACGCCTAACTACTGCTGATCTTGATTGGTGGAAAACATCTCTTACCGCTAATCTCATGGGCCCTAGCTAGAGAGACAGAACAGAAAGATCCAACAGATTTCAGAAACATTCCAGACACAATCAACAAAGACATGCTGTATTCAACTTATCAGGAGAAATAGAAATGGGGGATGATTTTCAAGTGACTAGTATTTCTGATAACGATCAAGAAAAGGAAAAACCTGCGGTTTTATCTTATTCCTGTTATTCATCTACCACCTAGTTGGATGGGAAGGGGAGCACCTTTTCTTCTTATAATAGTATTTGCTTTTTTTCTCCCTCCTTGTCTTCTGTTTCACTAAATCGTATTTTTCGCTAGTTATTATATTGTCAAGTGGCAGAAGCCATCTCAAAAAAGAACGAATACAGAGCATTGATTCTGATGAGGAACAGTGAGAGTGAGAAATACACTTGTCTATACAGTGCAGGTGTTCAAGGACGTAAATAAAAGAATTTTGCCTAATCAATTGCTCTAATCCGGCTACTTCACAGCTGTCAGGGCCTTGCATTGGAATGACAGAGAAAAGTGGTAATAATCGTAGTGCATCAGGCAGAGCGAAGGAACGCTCAAGAAAAAGTAGGGATAATGGTGATGTCAGAAGGCAGGCTACTTTCTCTCTCTTCAGAAAATTTTCCATTTCTTGTCCTACCACACCATGAGCTTACTGAAATACATCAGATTGGCTAAGAATGTCAAATTGGACTCATTGAACCATCTAATACTAATTCATTCTGCTCTCTATCTTCGTTTCCCGCACTCCTACAACATCACATGTTTTCTCGCTTCTTATGTCACTTTTAAGCTACAATTCCAGGAGGAAGACACTGAATTCAAGAAATCATACATAAACGCCCTACATCTCATGAATAGTGATGTTCTGCACGTATAACTGTAGCAGCCATAACCCTTGAATAAAAACTCAGTAATGTACAATAATCACTGCTAGTCAAATAATATAAGAATTAAAAGTAAAAAATTTGGTAGAATATGTGTCACAGTTAGAATAGCTCTTCGATGAAATTTTTTGCAAGGCAGCTGCGACCCATTTGTTAAAAGCCAACAGCAAAGTATTCAAATCCGTACTTCAGAAGTGTGACATCTCTTATCAACAACAAAAAATGACATGTGAACGATTTTCCAAAGACTCATAACCAAGAAACGGAAGAAAAGGCTTCATGCTTAGTAGACCTACTAAAGTGGCATATCCTACTGAAGGAAAGCAATGCCAATGCACAGTTCAATCAAAACTTGCGACCAACAACAACAGAAAATTAAGAAAGTAATTAAAAAAAAAGAGCCGAAGTTATTGAGATAATGACTACGACAGCAAAAAATTATAAATTAGGATTTTTTATGAGTAAATAATCATAAAAGTATTTATACAATAATTTAGAATAATATGAAAAAGTATAGGAATTCTTTGATTAATGAGATCAAGGTATGATCTAAACTTCTCAGCTAATTCACCATAAAAAAATGTACTCAGATAACATAACAGCACGTACAAATTTTTACACAAAATTTAGCTCTTAATTCATACAAGCAAGGAGGAAAGAAAGAACCAGAACCATAGATTTTCTAAGGAGCCACCAAATACATTGGGTCAGGAGAAAGTTTGAATTGACATGAATACTGGAGTTCTACAAAGAATGCCAAGAGCGGATTAGTCAATTACTTCGCTTCTGAATTCTTCTAAAGCGTCCCCTGAAATGTCTTGCTGCAAAAATTTCTTAATAGCGACTTCCTGAGAAAAATAAAGAGCCGAACATTTAGACATCACATAGAAATATGAAACAGACATAACTGGTAAACCGATCTACGAACTGAATACTCTGCTAAGGAGCAGTCCCCTCAGGAAGATGAAACAATCAATCGTTTACAAAACTTATCTTCACAATCACCCGGTAATTGCACATTATTACGTAATGTAATGTTAATCTGGCATATAGATGCACGTCTACCTCATTCAAAATTTCAAATAGCGCTATGCTTATATCTGCTCCACAATGTCCAACCAGAGCAGTTTTAAAAAAGTAGCCCACAACAGAACACCATGCTGCATGCCACCCACAACGGTCTGTCAGATATTAGGGGCTGAGGAAGAGTCCCATAAACTATAATGGTACTTGTCAAAAGCTATGCATATTATGAGGTGGGGAAAAAAACCTGATGTGCATACCCACAACTAATTTAGGAAAGTCGCCTAAGATAACAAAGTCCTTCAAATAAGTTCATTTCCTTCCTGTTGTCCTCACCCAGAACCTTGGTAAACTATAGACATAGAAAAGCATGACAAGACCATCGTCCTTGTAGTCGAAGTACTTTTGTCCACGCTCTTACCATTATAATGGGGTCAGCGATCGCTATATCAAGGAGACATCAAAAAAAGTTCTCCGCCATAAAATTGTCTGCAATGGGATGTATATTCAGCCATTTCCCTTCTTGCCACTGCAGATAAACAAGTCAAGACTCCCCCAGTTTGCCAATAGGATCAAGGCTGCGCCACTTGATTCTTGTATGAGGGCTTAATGTGCAGACATTGAATTCAAGGGTGACAGCAAGCTGACTCTTTTGGTGCGACATTTATTTCCAGTCATGTTAAGATCACATTCTCTATCTCGTTTTATCAGAACAGAATTTTGATGAAGCTATAGTTTTGTCTCACCAGAAAGCCTGTCTTCGTTAGCATCCTGAGATGTTCATTCTCCAGTTCAATGTTTCCGTGCAAAGAAGACATTCTTCCACCGTTCATCTACTTTCTTAAAAGAACAGTACTGTTAACATCCTCACGTGTGTATCTCACATGGACTCTAGCATTTATCTACTTTCTTAGTAGACGGCAATGTTGGGATCTCCACTCACCTTAACTGACAGACACTCCACTGTAGTAACCCCGCTGAAACACAACTGCCATTTGTTCTTGGAAAGTTATTGCTCCTTCATACAGTAAACCCTATTCTCATTTTTATAAGACGCATCCCAACCTATCTTTAATATCCTGCCCCCCAGCTTCATTCTTACCCACAAATAACGCACATCAACAAGATTCATATACTAATCTTCAACCAAAAAAGAATTAAACGGAAGAGATCCTTATAATACAAAGGAGCTGTGACACTAGAGGCTACCATCTGTTTTTATGTTCCACTATTATCACAAAAAAAAAAAAAACGGACTGACTACTCGCTATCATATGAATGGCAAATAAGCTAAAATGTTGAATATTAAAATTCATATAGTTTTGTCTCATTCATGTCCTTCTGAACCAAGTTCATTCCTCTGCAGAATAATATTCGGTGCACTACTCACGTAAGTCACAATGAGGGCTTCCATGAACGCACCAAGAAAATTTAGACAAATTCCACCATTTTCAACAGCTGAGAATGAAGCCACTCTTTAGACAAGTATTTCTGGCACTGTTTTTAAACTTCTACATTACCATTCAACAGCAGATAAACTAGTCTCTGAGCCTTGAATCCCATATAACTCCTCATATGTTAATGCTTTGATTCAGAACTAAGTCTATCTCGCCAAAACTTACAGAAATCCGTCTACGACTCCAGTACAACAAAGATGCCCCAAGAATCTCATGTTCCATGTCAATGTTATCAAATACTCAGTTAATAGCCTCACTGAAGACTATGTTCCCCTCATTAAAGCTGAAGTTACCAAATAAATTCCACCAGCATTGCTGTAATAAGAGCACAATCAAGTCGCATGCATGTTGAGACAGTGCAGGGAATGCCTATCATGAGAATATGTAACTGAATTGCCCATATTTTAGCAAGAAAAGAAAGGGAATCTTATGGACGTGAAAAGAAAGGGAATATTGTAGAATGAGCCTTGGACGTGAAAATAGAATAGGCAATGCAGCCTGGATAGAAGTAATTTTGGTCAAGCATGCAAAGTAGAAAATACATCTCAACGCTGCCACTAGTTATAACATCATGAATTCCTCAGGTCCATCAACAATGACTTCAAACCACTCTTAATACTTTGATGCCGTAAACTGGACGGAAACAATGTTACAATGTCAAACATTTAGACTATAAACGTTTAAATGAGAGGATACCCAAAAAAAGAAAATAGCTTAATTTTGGAGATAAACTCAACATAAAAATCAAAAGAAATCTCAGAAACAAAGGCATTGGACTCACCGTTCCATGTAACTCTCCATGGAAAACCTCCCCATATGAACCTAATACAAAATTCCATTAACGAGAGAACAATTATAGACTTGAAAATATAGTAGTATGAAACAATTAAGAAAATACCCAGTCCAATTCGCTCTCCCAAGGTTAAATCCTCCCATAAGATCTCAAATTCAGCAACATCATCAAGGGCAACATCAGATTTGGTGCTTTCATATCCAGTAGATTTGTCAGAACTTCTCTCAATTTCTTGATAACCCTCAGTTGTATGATGCACACTATCAGGACTAACATTATATTCTTGTTTGATTACTGGATGCTCATCACTAGTGCCATCTTCTTCGCAAAATTTTTGACCAACATCTGTTGGAAAAACAGTTAGAGAAGAGCAAACAAGTTCTGACGGTTCATATTGCTTGCTGACAGCAGCAGTTGTTGCTGCCACCACTGCAGCAGTGGCAGTTGCTGCTGCTGCAACAGGAACCTCTAGATTTTTGTCAGAGTTTGATTTAGCTGCAGCAACAACCATTGAAGAAGCGACCACAGCTGCTGTTGCTGCAGCAGCAGCAGCAACAGGCATGTTTTTAATAAACATTACTGGAGAAGTTTGTAGCTCGACAGGTGTTTCAGATTGAGGTGAGGATGAAACAACTCCAAAATTCAGTGGTCGAGAAACACCCAAACCTGCCACAGGTTCTAGGTGATCCACCTGGGATCTAGAATAAACCTTAGGCTGGACACCATTAGTAGGCAGATTAAGCTGACCATTACTAGGATCAGCTTGACACTTTTGTCTCGTTCCATCCTTCCTCTTTGCAATTTCTTGCTTATCAGATAGATTCACATCATCAGAAACTACGCAATCTGGTTGCTCATGAATAATTTCGGTGAACAAATTGAGAGGCGCCACTACCCCACTTTCCAGTAATACATCATGAAGCTTCTGAGCCAATTGTGGATTTTCTTTTGCAGCATCAATCATATACTGTGAAACATCCTTAGCTTTCATCCTCCGAACTGCTGGGGAACTAATGCCTTCTGTCCAAGAAGGAGATCTCCCTAGGGAATAAGCTTGGCTTAGCCTAGGAGATGCTTTACGGGTTGGTACCCTCTGGTTACTAGAAGAGTCACTTGAGTCTTCACAGATCTTCGATCTGTCATCAATAAGACATTGGATTGAAGAATTATCATGTGAACTTTTCAAGATTTGTTTTCCTTCAGACATTGCAACCATATAACCTCTTTCATTTTCTGAGGTAATAGATGATCTTCTGTCCGGCATTTCATTCTGAGAGAAGCAGCCAACACTTGGAGTAGGAAAAGAAGAAGCATGGGCATTTTCCAAATCTTTCAATGAGGAACTAACGGAAGAGGTCGCTATATCACCGTCTCTCTGAGGTACGCCAGCATCAGTTGGGATCAGTGTTCCAGGATCAGCCATAAGATCAACAATGTATTCCCTGCATTGAGTAGCGGCGAGATAATGAAACCGCGTGAGTGGAAGCTTCAAATACAAAATCACTCAGTCAAGCAGTCATTTAATCAAAAGGTGGATTAAGAAATACAAGCTTTTCCAAGGAAACGGTTTCAGATATGTTAAATCAAAGGAAGAATGTTCCAAGCACCAATCAATCAACGAGAATCATCTCAAAATTTCAAAAGTATCAATATTTTTTTCTAGATCAGTTCGTAAAATGATTAAAACCTGAATTTATGTGTCATGGATTAACAAGTACATACACTTTCCAATAAATAAGATGATCCAAATGGGTACATGATTTGAGGTTTTCCAGCCACATGAATGGGGCATCGCATATCTGAACGTTCAGTTCTTTTAACTACGCCCATGTATTTGATTTATGAGAATCCAAAAACAGCCAAGTTGACACAGGCAACCCGATAATATGTTTCTTCACTAAACAAACGTGTTTAAGAAAAAACATATAATTTTTTAAGGATAGAATGGAAACATACATAAGAAGATATACGAGCAATATATCCACACAAAAAAATGACCACCTTTTTTCTTTTATACTCTTGATAAATTTAGACACCAGAAGCGCAACTAAATGATATTTCCAGTCACAACCTATCATAGCAACTAGATCTCCTCCCATGTAAGATGTGAGGATGGTGAGATACCTCTGGTGGCAAAAATACAAGGGATGAGATGGTGAAGAGCAGAGCAATACCTTCCATTATTAATCTTAACAATATTGACGGCCCCATCATCTGAACCTGTATATAGCTGTCCCTTCAATAACTGACATGGAACACCCACACTATCAGCCAAAACCTGCAAAAAGATTTAACCGTCATTAAGACAGTGGGCATTCTTCCAAAAATAAATTTTATAAGAAATATATATGAATATCTTCGTTTACTTATTCAGAACCATCGAACAAATTGGTTCTCTAGAAGGAAATATGTACATGATAGCCATTCATGAGTTCTACTGGTATTTCAAACACTTCTCATTAGGTTGTTTTATCGCCAAAGACACTGTGAAGTAATTATTTTGATTGCATAATAGAGACTGCTTCGATTCTTTGATTAGATGAAAAATGAGTCAATCAGTATAACTGCTGTTTTCTCCTTTTCTGCCATTATCTCTCTTATAGTTGAAACTTTTGGAATATACAAATATATGTCTGTTGAAATTAATAAATAAATAATATTTAAGAATTCTAGACCAAGATGACATAGACCACATACACTATGGGTCGAACCCCCTCAAGATGGAGGACTTAAATCCTTGTTACGAAAAAATCGCAAGTCTTGCAGATAGCAAAATTGAACCAAATATAAGGAAGTTTTAACGTCCTTATAAGTGTCTTTTACTATTGTACATGCACTAGGATCAATCGTATCCCACCATGCACCATTTGAGGCTTGGCAGCAGTTACCATTGTTGTCAATAATTTTTTGGATCTACATTTAAAGCTCCACTGACACAGAATGATGAGATCAGATTTATGGTTGATTTGTTCCCCCAATCTTAAATGAAATAACATAAGTTACATCTCAGCTTCAGGTTTGCTGCATGAAAATAAAAAATATAAGTTTCTTGAACTATACCTGTAATTTCACATAAATTTGAAGGTATTTGATAGGCCAATAACCCTCGCACACTAATCATGGTACACATGCATCCATTTAATTCATTCTTAGGTGTACATAGAGTCCATCCTATAACACAGTTCGTATGCAAAAAAAATTAATAACCAAGTCCCCTGGTTAGGTTTCATTTCAATGAATTCCAACCTCACCTTCGTCTATTTGTCACATAATTTTGTTCACATAAATTAACTCTCATTTCCAGAAATTTCTTCTCAAGCACAGCGACCTCTTTCGCAATAATCTACTTACTTCACTTATCCAAAGGGTGTTGAATAAAACCTCAAAAACATTTCAGCTGGACAAGAAGTTGAACTTCTCCAAAAGAGTATCCCTCATAAATCCACATTGGATATTTCTCTGATTTAAAAATATTGAATTGGGATTTCTTGGAGGGAGGGAAGGTGGGGGGGCGGCAACATGTTTTGAAGATAGGAAATAACAAACAAGTGTCGTATTCAGACAGCACATGACATTAAGATCCACAATAGTACATGTGCACAATCAGGATCAAAACGTTTCAACAACAACAAAACGATATTATATTACTCTTCCAGTACTGATCAACATTTAGCAGAGGAGCCAATTAAGCCCCTCTGAACAATATGAGATTAGTTGTTCATCTTCCCGAATAACGATCACAGTAAGATGATCATTTTTCGAAGAACGTTCTCCACTGCAAGATAGTGGTGTGTCTGATAACATTTACTAAAACTTCAATATCTAAGATGGTTAAAGGTCGGATCCATACTGCATAACAACCCTTTTGTAACATCTCTGAAACATAATGTATTAGCATCAATATTTTTATCAATAAAATGAGAAAGCATCTCCAAATACAACTTTCACTAGCATCCTGACACTGTTGCTACAGCCACCACTCACCAAACTACCAACCCCATCATTGTCATTTATTGCAGTAGTTTCCACCAAGCATCACAGCCACCTAAATTATAGTTGTCTTTTACCAACACAGTTGTCACACGGTGTTAGAACGGCAAACCACAACTTCAATTGATCATTATCACCTTGCTGCTGCCACTTACCAACATCCATAACCACCTTCAATGTTCTTAATGAAACTTTATCAAACAATTTTGATGACTAATTTGGATGCGAAGGTTCTCTAGCAAAATGTCGGTTCCTTTGTTTCCTGAAAAACTTATATGATAAGATACCCAACCCTAAGACATGAGTTCTTTTAAACGCAAGACTCCAGCCTACAGAGGCATCAAACGTCATCCAATTTTTAATCACCATAGAACCAGATATCTTTTTGTCAATGTAAATTTTGGAAATTATCTTAAGCTTTTTTTTTTCATTTTTACGTTCTTTATAATTCCTAAGCCACAGAATTCGTGGTTCTTATAATCTATCCGACTTTCTATCCATAAATATAACAACATCAAATATAGAACTTGTGATTGGCCTTCATGATCTAAAAATAAGGCTTACTTTTATTGGTTCTTGACCTGCCAAACATCAGTACTCTTTCTAAATGAGAACTAGAGATTTATTAGATACTTTAGGGACCGACAATAACTTACAATGCCAACTTCAAATGTACAACCAAATTCTATGACATGCATAATGTCTTTAAAAATTTCCACTGTCTGTAAAACTGATTTGTATTATTTATGTCGTCATTTTATGGCTTATTATTTAATCCAAATTCCACATTGCCAGAGAGCTGTGAAATATGTCTCACTCTAATTTATGTTACAGAACAGGTGGAGAACATCTTTGTACTAACTCAAGAATAATTAAGACATCTAACTGGGCAAAACATAATCCAAATCGAAACTCTTCTTGAAAAAAATAAAGGGATATGAAAAACAAAGCTTCAGTGAAAATATAAGAAGCTCACCAACCTTAAACATCAGCGCACGATGACGTGCCAGACCAACCGTCAAATGACCAAGTGGCAGCACCATATTCCCAAAACTTTCTCTTAGGCGATTGCTTAGGTCCCTCCATTCATTTGAGATGACTTCAGGATCCCTGACAGCTCCACCCATGTACTCAGCAACCATAATGGCAAGATTTCGCACCAAGTCAACGTCTTCATAATCTTTACTAACAGACCTTGACTCCACAGCCAGCACAAGTGCTCTGTTCTCAAGATTTGACAAATCAGTATCACTTGCTCTGTTCACAAGTATAGCTTCCCAACTGGTAGCATCAGAGTCCGGTATTTCTTGAAGATCAACGAGTGAAGGCATCTTCATTGAAGTTGACTCGGAAAAAATTCCATACAGATCGTAAAAACCATCCAAAATCTTATCATCATAGCTGAGAACGTTATAATTCTGTGACACAAATGAATTTATTGTGAGATAGGCTATAATATGAATATGATTTTTTTGAACCTTAGATCTCTAGCTTTAATAATGGCATGAGCTACCCTTATTTGCAGATTAACGCGATAAATCGAAAGGAGGAATATGGAACTTAAGCATAGATGTGTGCAACTTGTAGAATAGAAGCTCCATTTGCCACATGAGAGAATTACAGAAAGAAGAATGCTGCAATAGTCAAAAGGAAATCCCCATTCATGAAGAAGGAATATGCATTGCATTAGGATTGTCCTGGTTGAAGTCCAATCTTGCTTAGGGTTGGACCCACGAAATCAGAATATACTGAATCAGCCCATTAAAATTTCAAAAAAGCATCAATGACAAAATAAAGACATATACACGTGATGAAACTGTCATCAGCATGTTTAACTAAAATCTGCCAGTTCGCAGTCAATACGGCATTTATGATTTTACGGCACATCACATCTATGCTATAAATGATTCCTACAATCATTATAGTGTAGACGTTAATTAGGTCTATCGTGACTAAATTTTGTCCAACTGCCCCAATGACACAACATTATATACAGAACCTAGTCCACGTTGATGAGAACCAGACCATTTACAGCTAAGCAAGGGAATAAGCACACAATAGAAAATATTAAAAGCAATGCAACTGTTGTCAGTTCTTTGTAGTGTAATCATGATTTGAAGAAGAAGAAGAGAACTTATCAAATTGATGAGACCATACTTTCGACACGAAAGACCCTTATTCAGATTCGTGGAGACAGGACATTTTCGTCGTAATTTTGGATCAGTGTTTTCAGGTGTATAAAGAGCAGTTATATTCGACTTTGTTTAAGGAAATATATGGCCAAAGAAAAGCACACGGTTTTCAAAATCCCAGATAAAGCTCAGAAGACAAGAAAACTAGGATCAAATAAGATGCCCCAATCATATTCCACCAAGATGAAACAATGTTGTCATAGAAATGATGATATCGCCTGACCGTTCTTCAGAACCTCCTCCTTTTCTTTTGCAACAGATATCAATAGCTTGTGTTTAAGAGCCACGAAAATCAGAGGACTCCATATATTTGAAAGATATTTTTGAGAAATCATGAATTGGTAATCGACTATGCGGTTCTCCATATAAAAACTTGAATTCAACAGGCAGTGGAATCCACTTTTTCACCAAACTCTTCATTCTCTGTCACTAAAATTATTCACAGTGAAACAACCGAAAACTTGCCTCTGGCATCCCATGCATAATTTCTAGTATCGTCCTTAAAGTTCAATGTCTTTGGAAAGCTCCAACCAGCAACAAAAAGAATAATCCGTTAACCCTGCATAAAATTAGGCATTCGTGTTTCTTTACATGGTTTACTGTACATCAGGTAGATTTGTGCTCCCTTTGTTCAAAGAAACTTGATGCAATACAACTATATCCAAAAACTATAGCTTACCATGATCTTTCCTCCCTAAGATCCGTAAAGTTATCATTTACCATCTGAAAATATATAGTCACTGAGGAATCATATGCCATAGGAACGTTTATCAGCATTAAGGGAAAAAGTGATTACTCCAGTAGAATCCTGTCTTCAATCTTGGATCATGTGAGATCCTACTATGCCCCCACTCTGCACAACTACTCTTCTACACCATCATTACAGAATACTTTGACCGTGACCAGCTAGAATACTTTTCTTTGACTTTTATAGACCCCATCTCATTTTATGAGATTCATCCCCTTACATTAATACTTGGAGCGGGGGCTCATCTGACAAAGTTAACCCTACATACCTATTAGAAAAAACCCCGTTGCTCTCATGATAGTAGTGTTTTATTAACAAAGGTTTGGACCATGGATCTTGTCTGGGACTCCTTTCAGTCACTAACTCAACAGTTTTATATCGAATTTTTGGCACATTTGCAAGCTTCTTGGCACGAACTCGGCCAGCTTCATGGATCCCTTTTCAGCATCAGGACAGAAAGAAATCAAATGCTTGATGGAGCGGTTTGTCACCAAAATCACTTACCCCAGCCATAAAACAATGCTGATGGGAACCCAAGTGAAAGAAATTTGAATCCAGAGAATTCCTGGAATCACAATAAAAACTAACTCCATTTTATCCTTCATAATGGGCCTATAAGGTCACTTGCTTCAGTTTGATTGGCTGTTGAAATAACTTCCTTCACCATCTGGGCCCTCCAAGTTTCTTCTTGTCGAAACAACTGTTTATAGAAGTCAGGAAACTGTTCCTCAATGCAGTTTTGCCTTCCAATCATTAGTCTACTATCATAATTAAGACAACTTTCAGCTTCCCCTTTTTAAGACTGCCAACCGTGAAAATTGGTTTTTCTCCAGTCCCCTTTCTTCAGCTATCGTTATTTTGATTCTTCGCTGTCATTTTTACATTATCCGCCCATTGCTATGAAGAAATTTCTCTCTGCTTCTCGCAACCTATGATTTTCCAATTATTCCCGTTTCATGCATTTTGCCTGCCCTCATTTGAGTCACTTTTGTAAGTTTATTTCATGGCATCATCCTCTTTCTTACCCTGGAAGGTAATTAGCATTAACCAAACAGGGTACATGGAAATTGTTGCTTGAAGATTTTTTTTCTTTTGAAAGACCAGGTTATATAGACATACTGATACCTTATTTACAATGTGACAAATTTGCTTGATACGAGTGGCCAAAAGCCAAACAAAATATACTTTGTTTCAGAAAGTATTGTAAATTGCCTATGCCTGCTATCAAGAAAGGGCCAGAATGTGATTCATGTATTACAACCTGTGGCATAAACGTTTATGAGCCAATGAACATTTCAAGCAGATCATTGTCCTCATAGGTTATTTCATCCAGATTTCAGCCAGATATATTCCTTTTCATTTTCTAAAAATCATTACTGATGGTACACTTTTTTCACAAGAATTCAAGATAGTTTATAGGGCTGAATTCGAAAATCTCTACGTTCTCCAAATGAATGACTTCTTCTGTGATAAACAGGGGCCTATGGGATTTAATGGTTCGCATTCATTCCAGCCAAAAGAGAGGGTGCTGACTGCATTTTGAGTAATACTTGGTAGAGAGGATTTTTCTACGCCATCCTAGGTTTATTATGACATACTCTCTGTCCCCTTTTACTCTTCCACTTCTATCCTTTCTATCCTTTTTGGGAGGAGCTGTCCTCACAGAAGAAGACTACAGGATTATGATTCACCAGGTTTAAACCTTCGAGATATTTTATTGATCCTTTTGATGTCAACGACTAACAGTTAGAATAATATTCCCTGAAAAGGTCACATGATCCAAGAATTTGGATTGATCCTTGGACATGAACTCCCGGAGAAGCAAGATTTCCTAATCCCATAATGCATAACAAAGAAAATCAAAGAGGAAACCAGTGCACTGGAGGTCTTGCATCAGAGATGACATGGAAATTGCATCTGAACAATAACTGCGTTAATTATCACGATTTTAGGAGCCAGAGACTTCCGGAATGTCAAACAGAGGAAAGCATTTATTTATACAATATATGATTCTGCTGAATTACAAAACCAAAAGGTCACTAACCCAGTATCTGTAAGCAACAATTTCTGCTGGCGTGTTCTCCGCAGGACACGAACCTAGACTGATTTGCTTCACAGCCTCGATCTGAACAGCTTCCGGGTCTTCCTTTGCACTTAACTCAAGTGCAAGCTGTATTTGGTATGCTTCCACGTCCATAGCCCCTGACTCGTTCATCAAAGAGCATCCAGCAGGTACTTCCTGCACAAAGTCTGAGCCAGGAAAATGGTAGCTAGGTGAACCATCGCCGAGCCTCTCCCTGTCCCTACTGATATCTAACGGAGAGGGTGAACAAGACGATGAAGTGGTATCCATATTAACGGGAGGCGAAGTTGAGGAGCCACCATGCCTGTTTGTCACGGAACTCAACCAGTTTGAGAGTCCCGACAAGGGTTTCTGGTCAGAGAGCAGCTGAAAGTTGCGCCGAGATGGGGACGCTGTTCTGCTCCTTCTGCTGCCCCCACCTTTGGAGGACGATGACCCATCCAGGTCAGGTTTCGGGATGCCATCTGATTCGTTCGGGACGATGTGCAGCTTCTTGAGGATGTTCTTCATCTCTTTCTTCCTCGCTTCCTATTTGCTCACTTACTGTGGCCACTCTAGCTCAACTTTTGTTAATACTTAACTCATTTGGCTAATGTTAACGTGGTTACTGTCCGGCCACCACCCATCCATCCTCCTCCTCCCCATTCTCGCCGGTCGGCCGGCCATGAGGCCGAGCAATGAAGGGGAAAAAACCGGCAAAAAGTAGATAGAACAGGAAGGGAAAAATAATCAGATATTCACGAGAAGGCGAGGATAAAAAACAGCAGCAACTGAAGCACCACTTCCCCTCCAATGGTTCATCCTCGGGGCCCGCACTCAGAAAAGGGCGTTTCCTCCTCAAGGCCGCAAAAACATAATCCCCAGCAGCCGCAAGCTCTAATCAAGAGGAGGTTCCCAACCCAAGCCCCAATCCCCTCCGGAAGATCACCTCAAAAACGGCAGCGGTCTAACAGGCACTGGAACATCCAAATCACCCTACCATTCATGCGGCAGCGGCGAATACTCCTACCACCGCTAAAGATCGATCCACCCAGGGAGCCAAATCATCTTCCCTCCCTGCTACCAACTGGCGGAGAATTTCAACTCGCTCCCCCACCACCACCACCACCGGAGAGTGGGGGAGCTTCCTCCTCCTCCCCCCACCCAGTCGAACCGGATTCAACTGTACTTGACCGAGAGCGGCGGAGACGAAAATTCCAGAAGACGGCCACGGTGACAGCGGCGACAACGGCGACAACGACGACAACGGCGACAGCGGCGACAACGGCGACAACGGCGACAGCCGCGGCGGCGACGACGGCGGAGAAGAGCGGCGATGGGGAACCGGAGGCGATTGCGACGTCAACTGCTGGGGCGGGACGCTCCTGATATATATATATATATATATGAGAGGCGCACAGATGAGGAGGAAGGAGCACCCAAAAGGACTCGGAAGCCTTCACACTGAATATGACTCACCATTTCCAGTGGTGAGATTATCCTTTTAATGACGTCATTGTGACCTTTCCAACCAATCACCGTGCTTCGTCGAATTTCCTAGGTGGAATAACGCTGCTTATTGTTAGAAGAGGAGAATCCACTTGTGTTAGGGCCGACGCCCAGTTGGGTCGGCCAAGTTGGAAGTGGGGCCCCCTGATTAACGGCGGATGACGCTAACCCTATTTTGCTTATATCCCTTCATTAATTCTCTACTTAACGTATTAACCCTTTAACCCTATTATTTTGTTTCCACGCACTCCCGTTTCGTTCCAAGTGGGAGGCCCGGCAAAACGGGGACTTAGAAACCCCGAGTTACAAGGACCAAAATCCAATTAAAATATTTATTTTAATTTACGTAATAATCCTGCTATTAATAAGCATTTAAAACCATCATTTATGTTATTCATCGCTCAGATGACCAAATAAAGGGGAAATAATGTTGAAAAATAAGTCGAATAATGAAATTAAATATTTTTCTTGAAAAAATCATTTTCATCCAATAAATGAAATAAAATTATTGATTACACAACCTTTCTATAAATCAGAAAAATGATATATTTAATGCATGACCCTTCTCCTTGACACATATTAAGAAAGTCACCTTTGAAAGTGGAAAATTGATAATAATCAGAAAGTTCATACGGATTTGCAACGAAAATAGATAAATCTATTTATTGTACAACCCTTCATTGTATCAAAAATTGGCATGGTGCCCCCACTGAAGTTATAAAAATCATAGGGAATCCTTTTAAGGCCAGTGAGATCATGAATATGCTAATCTATTTATCTACCATAAAATGATATTTATTAATTAGGAACTGGATTTTCTAATATTAGTTCTTATTTTTATCACATATTCAACTCAAAGCAAGAAGGATAAAGTATGTGATTAATAAACTTTACTAGTTATTAATTCAATATTTTTCTACTCTCACAGACGAAAACTTATAGGGAATCCATTTAAGAACGATGAGAACATGATTACAATAATCTATGTATCTAATATTTCTTACTTTTAATTTCTTTTTCTTTAAAATATTAACTCTGATTTGTCCCACATATCTAACTCAAAGCAAGAAAGATAAAGTATAAAATTAACAACTTCTGCTAGTTTCATCAATAGATTGAAATGAAGATATCTAAAGGAATTGATAACGCCAAAAAAATCAAAAGTTTATATTCTCACAGATGAAAAATCATAGGGAATCCATTTAAGAACAATGAGATTATAATTACAATAATCTATTTATCCAATATTTCTTAGTTATAGAATTTTCTTTTTTAAAATATTAATTTTGATTTGTCCCATATATTTAACTAAAAGCAAGAGAGATAAAGTCTGGAATCAATAACTTTCTACTAGTTTCATCTCTAGGTTGAAATGCAAATATCTGAAGGAATTGATATTTCCAAAAAAGAAATTTAATATTTTCTATTCTGACAGATGAAAAATAAAGCCATAACGATGGAGATGTGTTCTCATTTTCGCAAGAAACAAGACGCAGGCCTCATCCAATTGACAAGCTTTTTACAAGGAAAAATAAAAGTATATAGATGGAGATATGACCTGTAGATGTTCTCATTCTGCCCAAAAAAAGAGTAAACTTATATGCATCGGCGGAGTATGTACCCACAGAAAAGCACCATTATGATGGACATGAATTACATGAGATATGAAATGAATGGTTCTTGTTCTCCAGAGTATTCCCACAGCGGAGTTCATCGTGGTTTCTGGTTATTCATAGGCACAACCGAAGGAGTTGACCAAGGATATTTCATGGAGGGATCCCTTGGAAATTTCCTGAAGTTCAGAAACGGCGCCCAGAGTAGCAAGCTTCATAGATCAGGGTATTGTAATCAGTGATCCAAGAAAAGCACTCGTTTGCAGGATCTCACTCAATAATTACTGGGCATATAAGTGTCTATTTTCGAAAATATACATGAAATGGGGAGCACTATCGATTAATATTCTCTGTTCTGATATCTAATTGAACTAAAATAATGACAGAAAAGCATGTTCTTCCACCGATTATTTCATTTTCCGTGCAGATCGCATGCGCTGATCAACGATTCAGTTCACTTCAGAGACTGTAACAAGGAAATAATCCCCTAATATGTTTCCCTCCATCAATTCTGATTCCTGAGTTTTCAGGTTGCATGCATCCATACCTGATGCGCAAGCAGAGAAGATCTGAAACGGGTCATGGCAAAGGGCACTCACCCGGGGAAGAAGATGAACACAAGCATGAACTGCAGGTACATCTCGAAGAACTTGCGCTTGTACCATCTCAGCCTCATCCAGTTCATGAGGACGGGCTGCAGTTGCAAACAGCTCATACAGATAAACAGGGGCTTGTCCTTCACCCAGAAAAATAGCACAAAAATGGGATTCCCCTTTCAATCCCGGCGACTCACCGGCACCACCAAGAAGTAGAAGAAGGCGATGATTGCGGACTGTATCAGCATAGACGGTAGGTCATCGTCGAAGTTGTTGTTGCTCCCCGTCACTGCTATCGCCGGTTGCGCGATCTGCGAGCCGACAAGTCGAGAGAAATCTCAGCGTAACCACTGAAAGAGGAAGAAGAGGAGGGGATTTACTTACAGAGGCCATTAAAGCACCACATTGTATCAGCAAGCTGGAACACCTCTTGATGCCTTCTTTTTCTGCGATAAACTAGATAGAGAGAGAAGGAGAGAGAGAGAGAGAGGATGATCAGATCAAGAGAATGTACGCAACAATTGCCGACTCTCGATGTGATCACGAGACTGCGCGAAGACGCACTTGGTCCCTCTCCTGGACACGAACAGCCACAGGGAGAAGCACACGACCGCATTGGTGCGCAGAGAGGCGGGCGGGGGAGGAGGGGCCCCGGTGGCGAGTTCGGCCGCGTAGAACGAGAGACGGCGGCGCCGCCGTGGCCTGGGCCGGCGGTAGCGGGGTGATTCTGAGCATGTTAGTCGCCATTCAGATGCCACGTCGAAAGAAAACACCAGTGGCGGCGCTAGCGGTGGCGGCGGCGGCGCTAGCGGTGGCGGCGGCGGCCTCGTCCGTCTCCGGCGATCTTCCCGCTACCTTGTTGGAGGCCCAGCTTCCCCGCCTTATCTGGAATCGAGAGGCTTGAACGCTGAGCTCAAATTCTCGGACCACCGTTACAGAATCTTCCGTCCTATGCACCACTCCCTGGTAGCGGTCTACTGCGCCACCTGATACTTTTTTAATCTTCTGGCCCGGCTTGATTTCAGGAATATTCGTCAGTTTTTATAAACGATTATTTACGAAAATTGGGTTGACTTATAACCTTGGTAGATGGAAAATAGCCAATAATTAATAATTGAAAAGCAAGGAAATTAACGGGCCGGCCCAGACCTGGGCCTTTTGAAGCTCGGGCCAGGCCCTGTATGGCACTTACTTGAGAGAGAGAGAGAGAGAGAGAGAGAGAGAGAGAGATCACACGTGTAAACAAAACTAATCTGGGGGTTCTGGGGATAATAATCGGGGTAAAAGAAAAACAGATTATTTTTGTGCCCCATCCTCCTTATTGAGTCAACGGATCATACTTTCACATGAACATCCTCATTCCACATTCATATGATCCGAGTGCATATGTGGTCGCGAGTTTATAGAAATGTACAGACCTGGATTTTCAATTTACAAAATACCCAAGTAGGTTGTTCTTGATTCATATGGATGGGGAGTCAAAGTGTGCTCATCAGTCTAGCCAGTGACCTTTGACTTCCACCCGGCAATGACATCCTCTTTCAAGGCCTGTGTTTTGATGAACGAGTCCATCGAGAAAATTCTCTGAAACAAAAGTCAACGGTGATCAAATGATTCAATCGACTAAAGTTGGAAAATTTTTCTTTTTTAAGTTTATGTTGACAGTAGAAATGATACAAGCGACAACAAGAAAAAGAAAGGTTACCTCTCCCGCACCCTTTTTCCCAACTGGGTCTACAGAGAGAAAGGTTACTCTCTCTCTCTCTCTCTCTCTCTCTCTCTCTCTCTCTCTCTCTCTCTCTCTCTCTCTCTCTCTCCTGCTCAGGAAGTGCTTACATGGCCCAGAGCAGCAAACAAGGTAGGCAGGTCTAAATATGCAAATGAATAAACATATGCATACATAAAATAAGACATGAACATTCATAGCATAGAGAAAGGTTACTCTCTCTCTCTCTCTCTCTCTCTCTCTCTCTCTCTTGCTTACACGGCCCAGAGCAGCAGACAAGGTGGGCAGGTCTAAATATGCATACATAACATAAGACATGAACACTCATAGCATAAATTGAAGGCTGTTTAAGGAAAAAAATCAGAAAAAATAAATATGGACCCCTATCTTTCCCAGCACATACCTTCATATAGTCTTTGACATATGAAAGAGACTCCGGGATGGACCAGCCCTTGTAATGCCCCAAAGCGATCTGAAGGTGGTAAAGCTTGGGACCGAGGGAGAGGTCCACTGCTGAAACCCTCTCCCCGTTGATGAATGGACCCTGAATCAATCAATCACCAGAGTTCTTTTTTATTTATTTATTTGTAATAATATATTATCACATTAATTTATTAAAGAAAAAAACGTAAGGAAAAAAAAAGGAGACAATTAAGGCAAAGGGATTGGTGGAAAGCAGAGCCACAAAATTCCATGCATAATCCCGCTCAATATACTAATGAATAAAAAAAAAGATAAATATGCATTAACTCTATGCTTGAGAGAAGAACATAAATAAAATTATGGACTATACACAACTGAATATTCGGTTTTATGTTTTAATAACTATATTTAGAGTTACTGAAGTATTATTTAATCAGAGTACCGTTAATGAGCATGCCTGGCGTTCTGCAATACATTGCAGGGATATCTTGATGTTGCCTATATAAGTAAACAACACTTGATAAATCTCAAGAATATCACATGAAAGATGAAGAGAGAGAAGGAATCCTACACAGTCTTCGGCCATTCCGAATCAAAATTTTAGTAATACATAGAAATGGAACAAGAATGAAAAAAAAATAGAAATCAAAATACAATACATTAATCAGTGCTAATTTATGATTTATCAATTGTATTAAGAATTTTTTGTAGTCTTATATAAGCATGAATGGAATTCCTGAATACATTCCTGGCGTATCCTGATGTTGCCAATGTAAACAAACAACACTAGATAAATCTCAATAATAAGAGAAAAAACCTTACATTGTCTTTGATGTAGTCATTAAAGGATGTCAGCTCAGCTAGCAAAGCTTGTTCTGTTCCATCCGTGGGATCTTTGCTCTTCAAAAAACCAACAAAGGTGGGAAAGATTTTCGATCCACTGCAGGGTGGAAAAATCTTCTAAAAATTATTTAATTTGTTTGAAGAATATTTTCTGCAAGGTGTTCTCCCAAAAGAACACACAATATTGTAATGATTAATAGAAAAAGATTAAAAATATATAAATAGAAAGATGAGGTCAATTTAGCTCTCAAAGGTGAAAATAAAAAAGCGAGTTCGATTCATTAAATGAATAAAGAAGGCAAAGAAATATGAAAAATGCACATTACATTGATGTAAATTACTCCCAATATAGCAGCGGGGATGAGAAATAAAAGTAAAATGCAGCTGAAATATTAATGTTAATGACATGATATTTTTTAATTATTTGGAGCTCCTATTATTCAACAACTGAAAGGAAAGCCAAAGCAACGATATTGCGGAATATTTGGAGCTCCTATGATTCATCAGCTGAAAGAAATGATCTTGTGCATAAATCTATGATTGAGAGACCATGTTTTCCTTTCCAATCTTCAGGCATAAGAATCAGAGTTTTCAATATCTGAAGGACAACTCTAAATCCATCTTTCACAGGTAAAGATGATAACCAACAGCAGTTCATACGTGTGAATATATACTCATCAATGAAACTGTCTAATTCCTTCTTAAAAGAAAAAAAAAAAAGATGAAACAAAGTGTATTAAACAAAGCCCAAATTGATGTCCCATTATACCACTAATATGTTGAAATCGAATCAGGTGGGATGGGATTCTTCAACCAATGAGGGAGAGGTATGATTCAAATAGTATCTTCGCTCAACTCACAAATGGTAAAGAATTACACCATTCAACCGTAAATCACAGGGTTTTATTTTTCTTTCCTAAGAAGAGAGTATTCTAACACCCTTAAAACTTCCCCATATAACACTATTATGAGTATTAAAGTATTACTAAAATTGGTTGTAATAAAGCACGTACACAGTTTTCTTCTCAGGTGGCGTCACTAAAGAAGGATTAGGGTACTTCTCTTCCAAAGATTGGGTAATAACATCTGAATCAGCAACCCATTTCTCCTCAAGTTTGATAATAGGGACCTTGCCCTCTGGACTGATCTCCAGAAACCTAAATAAAAAATATGACAATGAAGAAAAAGAAAATCTATGAACAGAATTCCCGGGGTATTAAAGTGGAAACTTTGGCAGATCTGTTTACCATTCAGGCTTATTAGCGAGGTCTACTACTTTTATGTGATAAGGAAGCTGCTTCACTTCAAGCGTCAGCAAAACTCTTTGTGTGAAGGGACCTGAAAAGGAAATGTACCAAAGTGATGTATATTTCCCATGTGGGGAAAAGACATTGGGTTCCATGATCATCAAAATCTTCCAAAGATAGATTCTCTAGGAGGAGGAATTATCAAATGATGATAGGAAAAGGAAAAAAAATTAAATCAGAGCAAAAAAACAAAACAAAAAAAAGAATTTTTCGAACCCCTCACTCTAGTTTCCTCCAGCGAGAATTCCCAAACCGATCGTTCAAGGAGCAAAACACAAGTAACACACTGTGAACTGGGAAGATTTCTTACAGTCGCCAAGCTTGTCGGGGTAGTTAATGGAGGCCTTCACGCAGACCTCCAAGGGCTCATCACCCGACGAGGAGGCTTTCACAGAGAAGCATCGAGAATCGCTCCCGGGGGAACGAAGGACGCCGCCATTACCACGACGGAGAGACAGCGATGGGCGGGCCTTCGACGGGAAGCAGAGCCCACAGGGACGGCGGCGGTGGCTGGAGGCAGAGAAAAAGCCGATGGAGGAGCGGGCGGCGGCAAGGGAGGTGGTCCCCATGGCGGACACCGCCGACATTTTCGCCGCCGGCGGTGAAAAAACTCTGCAGCTGCTCGGCCCTCTGCGATAGCGTTCCTGCTCGGTGGGGCGGCTCCGCCGCAGGACACGTCGCACCGTTTTTAAGCACTACCACGTCCCAATGGCCCGTCGTCTAAAAGGAAATTGAACATCACTAGCAAAAAAAAAAGAAGGAAATTTAATCTCTCTCTCTCTCTCTCTAACCTCATTTCGATGGTAATACGAGCACCGTAACTTAGCCCAGATTCCGTAACATAGGCGCAGTTTTAAATATTCCACTAATATTTGAATTCTTTATTTTTTTTAAATCCAATAATATATTTATGACAGAAGCCTGAAAACAGAGAGAGAGAGAGAGAGAGAGAGAGGCACTAAGTTCAGGTTGATGGGCTCCAATTATAATAAATAATTAAACATATATCCATCCCCTCTCTCTCTCTCTCTCTCTCTCTCTCTCTCTCTAACGTAATTTCGATGGTAATATGACACCTTAAATTAGCCCAGATTCCGTAACATAGGCACACCTTCAAATACTCGAATAAAACTTATTTAATTTATACTAGTACTTTTTATGAGCGCTTTGGGAGAAAGAACGAGAGAGAGAGAGAGAGAGAGAGAGAGAGAGAGAGAGTCAATGGGCTTCCGGGCCGGCCCGAAAAAAGTGATCGGGCCGAATTTCAGGGCCAGGAATTGGCCGGGCCTCGTATCAAACACAGAACCCAACTCCTGAACTGGGAATAATTTTTCCAGAGATAAAACAGAGGATTAAAAACCCTCCTGAATCTCACTCAATAAGAGAGACAAAAATGGAAATGTTATCAAATCATCCCCCTCTCCCCGCCTTCTAAGAACAAAAATGGAAACATACTCACAGTATGCCATCGGACCAGGCAGTGAACCATTCTACCCCTGCTTCTGCACCACCCACAAGGAAGGAAGGAAGAAGAAGAAGAAGAAGAACAACAGCAACAGCAACAACAATCATGAGAAGCCCCGCCGGGCACCACCGCCGTGTCTCAGTGGGCCCGATTTGGCGACATCGACGACGATCATCCAGCCGTTGATTATCTGCCGATCAAGAAACCCGGTCAATCGGATGAAAGAATATTGCCACAGGGAGGACAACATTATGGATCACCTTGCCATTCATCTCCTTCAGGGCCACACCAGCGGCCTCTTCGGTAGCGTACTCAATGAAGGCGTAGCCCTTGGATCTCTTTGAGATCTTGTCCATTATGACTTTTACTGTATTTGGCAAACCCATCAGGAGATATAGTTATCATTGTTATTATTATTATTATTATTATTATTTTCTGAGACAGAAAAGCCCACAGGAAAATAAAAGAGGAAATATTAATGAAGAACATTGATATAAGTTGGATGATATGAGAAAACTAGATATAAATGGGTGAATATTAGATAGATCAGGGGGGGGGGGGGATTGTACCTTCGACGAGGTCGCCAAAGCCTTCAAATGCCGCCCGTAGGGTCTTCTCAGAGGTATAAAAGGAAAGTCCTGGGAACCAGAGGCACCAAAGACGTCAAGAAAGTAAATCATCAGCCATATGTTTGCAACATCTCCTTGAAACAAGTCAACGAATATTTGTTGATTCTTCATTTTTGACTTCTGGTTTGAGTCAAACCAAGCATGATGACCCAGATGTAGATGTTTGCAACATCAGAGTGATTAAAGCCTCCAGAAAAAAAAATTGTGCAAGGTTACGGCCTTTTTTATTGAATCTTTTTCCAACTGGATATGAAACTATGGAGAAAGATTTTATTTATTTCTGTAATATTAAATCAAATAAAGATAACAGCTCATAAATAATTAGCATGGAAGAAGCAGCCTCAAAGTATATGGTTGATTCTAGCCAAAAGAATTTTCTTCAAAAAAAAAAAAAAACAGAATCCTCGGCCTGTGAAAGGAAAAAATAAACCCATAATGCGCCATATTTTTAATTGACTTTCAATTCATTTTAAAATTTCCATAGCACATGCAACAGGAATTATATTTTGCTATATATTTTTTTGACGAATATTTCCAGTTCGAATAATGTGCCCCAAAGCATATTATTTCCAATCTCAACTGTTTGAGTCAATCAGAATACTCAAACTGAACTACTTTTTTAAAAAATGATGTCAATGCTTTTAAAGCATCGTTGTTTTAGGTTGGTTGGGATTCTATTATAGTTTGATCCATAGTCTCTCCGTTCAATAAAAGAGTTTGGTTCCCAATTAAAAGGACCAGGCCAGCATGGTTATCTTCATACCTCCCGCAGGTGTTGACCCCTACCTTGCCGCCAATGAACTCCTCCAGTCAACTACATGGACTTTTCATCTATACTTCTGCGAAGCAATCGGGGTTCCAGATTTGATGTGGGTTCTTAGCCATTCAAAGTAATAGATACTTGTCTGGAAACGGTTCAGATACTAATGACTACATGGGACAGGAAGTTTAATGAGAGATCAATAGTTGTAATCTAAATTGGCTAAATGGTACTTCAATTATTCTGGGTAATCAATATGAAAGATTATTGATAGTGATGTGCACATTAATCTTTATACCACAAAGATCGATCAATGCCACCAATAAGTGATCAGCTTAAATTTTCATTTACACGCATGTAGATGATACAGTTCAATCCCTCACCCATGGAAAATGAGAAAAATAAACATCACTGACAAAAATCCATTTTGACATATGAGCTACCATGGAACGCAAAACGGAAAACAATGATTGCAATGTTACAAAAAAAAAAAAGAAAAGGGAAAAACATCAAGGTCACATACCAGTCACAAAAAGCCTTTTCGTTTTAATAGTTGGGCTCTGTTCATTTACAGGCATTTCAAGGGATTCTGAGCTCTGTGGCGTATCATCACCTAAAAAGTTAGATAGTTATTGACCTAGTTGGACTCAAGGAATGATTTTCATGCATCACCCACCAAGATTATAGTGCTAACCCACCAAGTATTCTGAATCGAATGAAGGAAGAGAATTAATATAATAGCTGGAAACAACAATTTCATGGCACTGATAAAAGTATGTAAGAAAGCAACAGAGATCAATCAAAAAGACATCATTAAGGAAAAAAACAAATACAAGGATCAATAAAATAGTGAGGGAATGATTCAATACATATAGCATTGAACAAATAAGAGCAATTCCAGTTTCTAGGCACATAACCCGAAACATACACTTTTTTATCACCTAATCCTAGTTTATGAAAATTTTCATATGTTATCCATTCTTTATGACACAAGGTACAAGTCCAACTAACATACCTCCGTATTCCTTATTTTTTGAGTCGATATGGACATCCTGACAAACATGAAGGACCTCCGGCACGTCTGTCATTCATTATAGAAGGTTTTAGACTCTAAATAGAGGTACTTATAACTTCATTAAAAGCATCAATCCTCGAATCTTACTAGCCAATTCTCGCGCACATTCCTCGTCAACTTGACAACAGAAGGCAAAATCTTTCTCCCACGAGATGTGATAAATGGAGGCTTGCGCATCCTTCTCACTGTAATGCAGAAACAATGTTACGAGGAGGAACCAATAGTACCAGTGAAATGTTAGAAAAGATGCCATTTTAAAGAATACTTACTTCCCTAAAATTTTTGCCAAGGTCTCAGCATAGTAATCCACTATCTGTGCCTTCGTGACAACTTCCACCCCTGGGTTCCGCATTCTCACCAGCCAGTGATTCGAACCACCTCCCGAAGGGGAAAATTTGGAACTTCCCTTATCAGACTGAAAGAAACTTTCCTTTACGGGTTTATCGTCTGTATCTGGTCTGACTGATAAGACATTCGACAGACCTAGAGAAAGCCCAAAAAAAAAAACAAAAGTTCAATGCGACCTCTCCGTTTAAGCCTTACAAGGTTTGTATCCTAGCATCAACCAATCTACTTCAACATGCTCCAGCCGCAAATGGCTAGTGGACAACGACCATTCCCCAGGCAATAGCCCAAAGAATGCGTTACCCTTATGCCATCTGAGTTGGCCAAGGACCAAGACGTTCAGTAGATCGAAAATTCACCATGAGAAACCACAACAAACAGTGCGCGCGACTGGACAGTAATGAACCTGCAAGCACACCAGAAGCCTGCTCATCAACGTCGCAGCGGAAACGATATTGGTTCCCCCAGGACGCATCGTAAATGCACGCCTGGGCTTCCTTCTCACTGTTCAAACACAAAATATCAGCGGGAAAACCAAACTGTAATCCAGAAATGACGGCAGCCAAAACACACAGAAGAGCTACTTCCTGCCCTAAGTAAACAAAGGCAAAGAACCTTACTCTCCGAGAACCCGAGCCAGGATTTCCACGTAATAATCGACAACCTCCGCCCTGGAGGGACCGACCTCAGCGGGAGGCTTCTCCACGTCAACCACCCAGCCGGAGCAGGCCGAGGCGGACACTACGCTCGAAGCCGCCGCAGAAATCGAAGAAACCAGAGACGACGGCGGTGGTGTAGCCGACCTTGTCGAGGCAGGACCAAAGGAGAGCGACCGAGGAGAAATCCGGGCCTGCAACACAGATCCCGCCGCCTTGAACGAGACGGCGCCAACCGGTGCAAAGGCTCCACAACCCCGAAGTAGGGGCAGAGGCGGCAAAGCGCCGGCAGGGGGAAGGAGGAGCTCCATGGCGGCGCCGTCGGCCAGCCACCGCCTGCCGGCGCCTTCAGAGAAGAGGAATTCGAATATAACAGGCGGCCTTTGGGATCTCACCAGGTCCCGATACCGTCCATTAAAGATCGAACGATAAAGGAGACACCTAATCTCCACCGTCCAATTGCAGGACTTTTCTCTTTGCCAGGCCTCGCTTGATTACATCAGGCCCAAATAAGCCCATTAAATATTCCTTTCTTATTGGGCTCATTATATCTTCTTTTTGCTGGTGGGGGTAAACTAGTCTTTTCGTCAATAAATTAAAAAGAAGGGCTTTGTCTCCTTATAAGGCAATTTTTAAACCCTTATTTAGAATTTAAAACCATGATAGTAATAGTAAATATTAAAAGTATTAAAGTCAATCATTTATGGCCCAAAAATACCACTTTGCCCATCAACCAAATTCCTAATATATTGCTACAGGGGCAGGAAAATCCCCAAATTGAGGGAAAAATGATGGGTAAATAATTAGGCCTTCAATAATGTATGAATCAAAACCCTAAAACACCCAATTGATGCAGAAATGATGGGCAAACAATTGGGCCTTCTACTAAGCATGAATCAAAACCCTAAAACCCCCAAATGGCGGCTGGATGCTGGGCAAATAACCAGGCATTCCTACTAAACATGAATCGAAACCCTAAAACACTCAATTGAGGCAAAAATTGATGGGCAAATAATCAGGCCTTCTATTAAACATGAATCAAAACCCTAAAACACTCAATTGAGGAAAAAATGGATGGGCAAACAATTGGGCCTTCTGCTAAGCATGAATGAAAACCCTAAAACACTCAATTGAGGCAAAAATGGATGGGCAAACAATTGGGCCTTCTACTAAGCATGAATCAAAACCCTAAAACACCCAATTGAGGCAAAAATGATGTGCAAATAATTAAGCCTTCTACTATTCATGAGTCAAAACCCTAAGACTCCCAATTGAGGCTGAATAATGGGTAAGTAATTTGGCCTTCTACTAAACATGAACCAAAACCCTAAAAATACTCAACTGAAGCTAGAAGCTAGATGATGTGCAAATAATTAAGCCTTCTACTATGCTTGAGTCAAAGCCCTAAAACACCTAGCTGAGGCTGAATGATGGGAAATAATTAGGTCCTCTACTGTGTACATTAATCAAAACCCTAAAACACTCAATTGAGACTGAAGAATGGGAAAACAATTAAGCCTTATACTAAACATGAATCAAATCCCCAATTCAGCCCACTGATGCTCTCAGTATACAACAAATAGAGAGGAGATCTAGGAGCATACATAGAGCAGCTTCCAGAAGTAGAATTCATATCTCCTTCTTACACTGAAGAACAACAGAGAGATATTCACAACACAGACAGAGCGAAATAATTAAACATTGCTTTACTTCTCTCAAAAAGGGATTAAGCCATAAAATTTCTCTGAAACAAGGGCAATTAAAGTGAGAAAAAAGAAACCGATCTCCAAGCAGCGTGCTTCTCCCTTTGCCATCAAATGCTCCTCCTAATCCTCCCCTTTGATCCCACCAGCCCGTGAGGAAAAAAAATCTAAAAAAAAAAAAAAAAAAAAAAAAAGGGACTACCAAGCGGACTCGGGCCTGACCCGCCATTGACTTATTAGGCTTTTTTCACATTAACGCTGGTAGAAAGAGGGAGAAGAAGAAAAAGGAAAAACAATGAGCCCCCTCCCCCTCACTCTTCCAACATCAGACTCTCATATATCGTCGTCACCACCAAGAACAGCATGGCCTAGAAGAAGAAGAAGAAGAAGAAGAAGAAGAAGAAGAAGGAGACTGGTCGCCCTCTCACCTTGGTACCCAGGAGAGTCAACAAGAAGCACCACCACCCATGTCAGTCAGCATGGTCTTTGCCAGCCGGAGATTGCGGTGGCAGAATTTAGAAGATGGTCGCAGCTTCTCGTACTGCAAGGAAATAAGTAGCCCAATCATATCCATTAGGAACAATCAAGAAAAAAAAAATGGTACTAGATAAAAATAGAAACAGAAGAAGGAGGCTATGGCCTTACTTCTTCTATGAAGGCATCTATTTCCTCGGCTGTCAGGGCTTCCTCTCCCTCTCCAGCATCCTCCTTCCATCCAAAGAGCCGAAGGAGTCTCTCCTCCTCCGCAGGATCAAAACAGGAACTTTTCTCTTCGCACAAGGAAGAGGATCTGTGGGGTTTGTCGCCGCTGCTTCTCGCAGCAGATTCCAAGCCGGAATCCACCAAACCGACGTCCTTCACCTGATGGCAAGCAGAACCAGAAGTGCTGCCCACCATCTGTTCGTCTGATTTCTCCAGAGTGGACAACGGATCATAATTTGGGTCTGGGTTGGAAGTCAAAGGGCTCTCGGAGGTCTTCTTCCGAAGAGAATTGAAGAAATCGCTCCTGTTCTGGTGTGAAACGGACTTTTTATCTCCAAATGCCGCCACAGACAAGCCAGTTGACTTCCCATTGGCCTTGATGGTCCGTGGACTCTTCATAGGAGGGGTGGCAGCAGTAGCGGCGGAGGGGGAAACGGCGACTGGGTTCAAGCCTCTGAACGCACTGGTCAAACTTGCACCATCTCTGGCAGTGGGCGAGACGCCATTCTTCTCACGGTTCAGAACTTGAAAATTACCAATTTGCGGCGTTTTAAGCATGTCTGATCTGCTGGAACCGCGGAAAGGGTGGCTGCCAGGCTGAGCCAGCGGTTGCTGCCCCACTTTCACACTCAAGTCACCAACTCTGGAACCTTTGCTTTTCAGCTTCTCAGCAAAGTTGACCTGAGAGAAACATCCTGCTGTTAGAAAATGCCCATGGAACCTAATGTTACATGATAAAAGAAAATTTCCATGATTTTATGTTCATCACGGAGGAAAATAACTTGTTCATATAAATAATAAAACCTCACTTGAAAAAGAAGAGAGAGAGAGAGAGAGAGAGAGAGAGAGAAGGGTTTAATCCTTTAAAGAGAAATTTGAGTATTCCTCCTGGGCCTTGTCAAAGTACCTCGAGTGACAACATGAAGAAAAGACATTAAAATTTTGCCATCTTAAGGAATGTTAAGTGGGAAAAAGAAATGACATGGAACTCTCCAAACATGCAAGGAAGAAAGAAGAAATCAAATGCAAGGAGAACTGGCATGTATCCGAACAATGTTTTTAGTAGAAAATGAGCTCTTATATACACCTATTCCAACTACCACGATGGCCCTGGCTAATAACCAGGCCCAAGTCACTCTAATCTCTTCTATTGGCAGTTTTAATCTTTGATTTCTTAACTTGGACCACTCCTACCATTCATGGATCTCATGCGATGGTGTTTATGGATGGCATTAGCATGATAAGCTCCCTTGTGCTAACAACCCATCACAAAAAACAAATCCAAGTTAAGTCAACTGATGAACACACTAGGTTACACCGAGCAGAAGAGACACTATCTCGTTTACTTTTCCCACCAAAATTAAGATTATAATGCTAGAAAAAAAGTGTACTAGCAGCAATAACACGAGAAATACAGAAGAAAAAAACCATCAAAAACATCTCAGCATCTAATAACAAGGTAGATGAAAAAAAGATGAAAAAAATCTAGAAGAGCGAGTTATCCCCATCCCTGATCAAACTTAGCAGACAAGCTCTTTACTAGTTTGATACACACATTACTCCCTATCAATCACATCCTATATAATTATGGAGCCTCAACGAAATCTTCTCTCGTTTTCTCTCATGCACATTGCCAACAGGATGCCTGGTGAGAGAATCTTCCACCACTCGAGACCATCAGCAATATAGGGCACGCAGAATGCAGTTCAGCCCAAGTTCGTCAACATTCCATGAAGAAATGATCAATGATCTCCTTCTCCAAACCACAGATGGCACACTTGTTTCGGATATTATGTTTGAAGACCTGAATTATGTCAAGCACGAGTAACCTATTGTTGATTCACTTCCAAAGAAATATTTTTCACTTTTGAGGGAAGCTTATTATTCCAAACCATTCCCCGCCATCAAACTCTTCATCCACTATCCTCATACAACTCTTTACAAATAAATCAATAGTGATCACACTTTGAACATCCCATCTCCGTTTTTCTATTTTCTTCCTGATCACATTTCTCACTAAACTGTGTTGCAGCATGGGAAGAAGCTCTACATATTCTTCAGTTCAAGAATCACAATTATCCCCTCTGAACTGCAATCCCCAATAGGCCTTAGGTCAGTTTGTCAAATCGCAAAAATACATAAAAGTTTGAATCTAGATCCTTTTTGTGCCGATTTGGGATTTACATTCCATAATCCTGGCGTGGAAGATATTATGGTCGAACCCTCATCGCCCCTCAAAGAGGAGATGAGGAATAAACAACCCAGAGAGTGTACGGGGAGACAAATTATACATTATGTTGGTGAGCATAAAAATGCGACACGGATGTTTCACCTAGGGCTAAGCACTAAGATGAAGACCCTAATTTTCAAGATATCCCCCAAGAGATGCTAAGCACTAAGATACTACATGATGGTTAGCCATTTAGGAGCCCACATAAGCCCACATAACCCCACAATCACCCCAATTGCCTGGTCATCATGTGTGAAGTAATAACCTTGTTTGATCCAGTAAGCACCTGATTCAGAATCTTGTGGAAGAAAAATAAGAATCTCCATACTCATAAAAACTACATGTTCTTCGAAAATGTCGTTAGTCATAAAATTCATGTAAATGAAACGATATGATAAAAAATTCGCCTGTCGAATGCTAGCAGACCTTGTCCCATTTTTACGCTCACCCACCTCACATGATTAACTCCGAATAAAACATAATTGATATGTAAAGATGTTTAACAATAAATGAAACAAAAGAGGATAACTAAATTCCTTGAAAAATGGGCATCACGACATTTTTATCTGCGCTCAAACAGTACAGAGCAGGCTCACGGTTCAGGAGTTTTGAGGAGATAGCCAGTAACACAAAACCCAATAGCACCCCAACATAGAAGTCATCGGCCATGCTAATGGCATCATCAGGTCACCAGCATGACAAAAGTCATGCCCGATCCAGTAACAAAAAAAAGGCAAAAAAAAAAGCGTTCTTTGATGAGTAAATTTCCATTAATTAAAAAATACAAAAACAGCATTATTTCAAAAAAAGTGAAACGATCTGTTAGAATGAATGAAATCCTAGATAACAAATGTACAAACGGTTTTATGCTTCTGAAATATATAATATGGACGTAAAAGGTATTTCAAAATAATAATCTATCTAAATAAATAAATAATGCAGATGTCCAGCTCTTAATGAAATCTTAGCATTAGAGTTTGGAGGTAAAGTATTAGGAAGAACAAACGTTCATCACTTCGATCAAAAGTCAGGACGCCATAAGGATAATCAGAGAGACCAGGCTTACAAACCGTGTTTCATTTCCCTTGTAGGTTAGAAAATAGGCACAGAGATGGATTTTCTTTGCCACCCATTTACAACCCTGTCCACACCTTACCAAGGCGATTTTATATTTAGCAAAACAAGAATTCAATCGTAAGGAGTAAATTACAAAACCAATAAATTGTATTCCATTAATTTCAACCTTATGACTATTTAGCGTGATGAAAAAAGTTGTGTAGAAAAAAGCGAAACTTTCACTTTATGTGATTCTGATCTATACTGTAATGTTTATCATAAAGCTTATGCCTCAAAAAAATAACTTCCTATACTGTAGTGTTTATCACTGTAGTTTAAAACAATTAAATCAGCTAAATAAAAAGGAAAATGTATCCACACTAGTAAGAACAAAACATTAAAAAACTAGAAATCATTCATTATAATATTGAAGAACAGATAATTTTCTGTCCCCTTTAGATGCGGTCAGGATGAGGAATCAAACATAGAATCGGCAGCCAGAGATAATCCTTCACCGTTCCCGTTCCACTTGACACCTGCTAGTTAGATCTAGATCAACCCATATCTTTTTCCAGAATTTCATTAAAATCTTTTTAAAAAACGTTAAAAGACGTTGATGATTCCTATTGTGGCAGGTACAAACCAGTTCCGAATCAAGCCAGTTACACCAGTTTCACCAACAACTTACTTGCTTCCTGGCTGGTTCTAACAAGCCAAAGCAGCCCTTGCATTCCTAGTTCAGACATTTCTGAGATTCAATCAGGCAAGATATGACTCATAGTCCTGTTCAAATCCATCCTAAAAAGGACAGGTATCGACTACTTTATTACATAATCAAGTCAGCTGCATCAGTTTCTAAATCAAGATCTGGATCACAAGAGTTTGCTCTAACCAGCTCAGGTACAGCTCTCGTGATCCTGGTTCTGAAAATTTTGATACTAAATATGACAAGACCTGACTTTTAGTTCAGATCCATTCCAGATGGGTGCTCATTGCACACTTAAATTTTATATATTAATGATATTTGCCTAGGCAGAAGGCATAATTCTCATAATAATATTTAAGAAAAGAAGCCTGACTCTGTACCAGAGTTGCATTGCCAATTCAAAAGGCTTCATCAGCAAAATCGGTTCTCCTGATAGGAGTGCGCCACTTCCTTTGAAGAAACTTGCACTAGTTTAGTTATCATTAAAAAAGGGCTTCTTAAAGCACTAGTAATGAATTCAAGCCCAGTAACATGGTTTCCCCGAGATAAACAAACTTCAACTTGCCAGATATTATGTCAAAAAAATAAATAGACGCAAACAAAACAAATAACAGATTACGCACAATCATAGGTAGATAATCCTATAAATCTAATTAAAGTTGAAAACCCTTTTCTAAGACTGAGAGATACAAGGAATGACCTTCAACTGATATCAAACCAAACCAATAAGGATTTTCCCTAAAATAAACATTAATTCTTCTCATATCCCATAGAAATCCATATAGTCCCCACCATTATGAGTTCAAGAATGTAAACAATTAAATCCCATCAGCACCAACCCATGGGTAAATAAATAACACATGAGAAGTATTTTACTTATTACCCAATTTCAAATGTGCGCTAAAGTAAGATGCAATTTAAAGAAGTTGACAAAGTTACCCTCATGAAGAAATATAAACTTCATAATTGTCAGATTATAATCTACACCTACCGATGTTTTAGGTGATGACGGAGTCACAGGTATTAGTTGACGAGACTTTTTGATCGCTAATTCCTCTAGCCTTTGGGTATCATCAGCCACCTGTCACCGAAAGCAAACAAAATGAGTAAAACCAGCGATAAAGGAAATAAAATCATATTACTGAAATCAAACCACAGGAAACAAACCTTTGGAGAAGCACGAGTTCGGAAAGGCGTTTGAACCAATGCCTCAGCCATATTCAATCCAGTCCCTGTGCTTGGAACAGCTGTAATTATGGCAGGAGACGTTTGTTGCACAGAGGAGAAAACTGTGCCATTACCTCCAACTGTGACGGGCATTTCAGCCAAAGCAGATGTCCAGCCATCACCTCCAATTATGGCCGATGAGTACAAAGGTATGCTTTGAACTGCGCTGCTAACTCCAGGAGAGGAAACTCTTCCTATCTCGGGAGGCCCTTGTTTATCTTCAGCCCCCAGATGTGGAAATTCTCTCTCAAATGATGCTTTACCGATGCCACTGGTGCCATTTCCACTGGAGATAACATTAATTGCATCCCCCCCAGCTCTTTTAGTCCACGCATTACTAGCCCTTCCCGTAATCATGGACTGCGACCTCCTCAACATATCTTTCTCAGACCTGCTGGGCATATTGTCAAGAACATCACCGATCCCATTCTCCAGATTACTAAACTTATCTTTATCATGAAAATCAATGTCCTTCTCCCAGTCCCGTTCACGAGAATTCCTACCAAAACTACTGGACGGTCGGGACTGCGCTGAGATATCCTTGTCGTGACCAAAGGAACCATTGGCAGTATAACTCCGACGATAAGACATAGAGCTTCTATCGACGAACACAGAGGGCCTTGGGCTCTCGTGGTCAAATCCACTGCCCAAGGATTTGTTCCTCGATATAGTTGCAGCTCCATGGTCATCTATACCATTAAATAAAGATCAGAGAAAGATCGAGAACTCAAAACACGCGCAAAGAACAAAACTAAAAAAATCTGAGACAACAAAAATGTACCTGAATGTAAAGATGATCCCGACGTCTGATTTGAACTGCCAGCTGTTGTTGTTGCTGCTGTTGTTCCAGTCTTCAACCACTCAGGAGCAAATGCCGGCTCAAACTTCTTTCCCGAGTTGGATGCTGTCGGGTCAATTTCATTTTTTTCCATCATGGTCCTGGACCATTATCCAAGAAGAGTAATTTTCTCCCCCTGACTGATCACGTCCTACTGCCTATCCAGTGGAATTGATATATTTCCGTAGGAGATCCATCCCAGACTTGCACAATCAAGGGAGAGAGTTGCACCAAAGCAGCCCTAATACGCCCCAAGTAGGCCAGCAGCAGGAAGAGGGATGAGCAAATTTCAGCGCAGAATCCGCGTCAAGAGAATAAGGGTATCCCTAGATCTCCATCTCCGGCAAGGCCTCGCCTCCGAGGACTCTCATCCCTCGTACCAATCCAATCGTCTGAATGCGGAGCTGACTGAGAAAGAGGTGCGTTTGAACCAGAAGAACTGTCACAAAAACAGTACCACACCCGGGGGGAAAGGGATCGGCCTCGCCAAAAACCAGAAGAGCCTTGGGACAATAGGGAGGGGATGGGAGAGAAGCAGTTTATCCTCCCCCGGAAAGGAGGAAGACGATGATAACGCTTCTTCGGTCCAGAAATAGAAATCTAGTGATGCAAAAGGCAGTTTAGGATGGGGAAGATTGAGAAAATATTCAACCGGCCTCCTCGGGTTGAGGGGTCCTAACGGACCCGCCGCCGCCTGCCCTAATAGAGGACCTCTGTTCGACGGTGGAATTGGTGCCCCCCCGCCCAAGCAACTGTTTTCTCTGTCGCTCAACCAGAACGGAGGAACGGAGATGGCGAGACACCAAGTGAATCGTAAACCTAACGAAGAAATAGGCGGCGCGAGTTCTCCCTCCTCGCGTTCCTGCACCTCCCCCTCTGCTACCCAAGTGGAGGAGGGAGAAGACGAATACAGTGGCTACGACAATCCGAAGATGGAGAAGACGGGTGGGATAAGAGCGGGGCGGAGGCGGCGGAGGGACAGTTAGACCAGAACAGGCGAAAGACCCTCAAGGGTTTCTCTCTCTATCTCTACACCTCTCTCTCTCTCTACTCCCTCTCCTTCCGTTTTGTGATGAGACAGGGTTTCGAACTAAAAATCCGAGGGAGGGTTGGGTGGGGAAGAAGGACAGGCGGCTTCCTGGCTTCCTGGTTCTCTCTCCCCCCCTCTCTCTCTCTCTCTCTCTCTTTCTCTCTTTCTCTCTCTCTCTCTCTCTCTCGTTCTCACTCCTCTCTCTTCTCTCTCTCCCCTCTCTTCTCTCTCTTCTCTCTCTTCTTTCTCTTTCTGCGTTATATCTCTCACCGCGGAAGGGGTTGAAGGAGAAGGGGCCCAGTTTATTTGATATCCCCTATGCTTCAGATTTTTTATATGTGACCATTAAATTTTATTAATTGTTGAAAAAGCCTTGCCATTTAATCGAGCTCCGCGGATACTGGAGTTTCCGCGTGACATGGAGGTCTTTTTACCTTAGAAAAGTTCTAGAAGGATTAAATTAATAATAAATAACTTATTGAGGGTTAAATCACAACTCCCGCAATGACGGAGAATACTCACGAGCATCGAATCAGCAACTGAAAAACAATTCCACGTGGACGGCTCATGCCGCGCCACATTGAGCATCGCCATCGGACGGACGACAGTTACTGGACGACGACCATGAGAAGACATCGGGGATATTTATTTTCAAGTTCCTTCATATTTAATTTTATTTTTCAAATACCTGAGAAGACGAGAAATATGCCGAGAATTCACGTAATTTCTGAAGACTTTATCGAAATTAATAATGACCCATTTTCCTATTTTCTTCATTTATAGCCAGTTAAACCCATTTTCTCAAAATAATAAAAAAATATAGAGATATTATAAAAATATTGCTAAAAATCACATTAAAAAATAATTCCAAGATATAGATTTACATTCAGGTAATATATTTATATATATATCATAATTTATAGTTTTTCGATATCAAAAAAATATGAATAAACTATTAAATCCAACATAGAGATCAAATAAAAGCTAGAGTACTGTTTTGTACTGAGACACAGAGATGGTAGAATTCACATAAAAAAAATTAATTCCAAGATAATCAATGATCCAAAGCTTGCACAGATATGGGTAGAAAAAAATGCTAGCTTTTGCCTGCAATTAAGGAAAATATTGTATAATCATCCACCGACCATGATCCTAATCAATACAAGGACGCTGTTTTCTGGGCTACTGAACCTCAATTTATGAAGATATGATGAGAAGTTATGTTCCCAAACCTGCATAGATAAGGTTCGGGAAAATATATGCATCCATGATAGATAGATCACACAGATCTGGGTAGAAAACATGCTAGATTTTTGCTCCCAATTAGGAAAACTATAGTGCAATCAAATCGGGCCTTGATCCCAATCAATATAAGCTCAATTTATCAATATATGATGGGGACTTATGATCCCAAACCTGCATAGATAAGGTTCGAGAAAATACAAGCTTTTTGCCCCCAATCGGCAGAAACATAAATAATCATCGATGATAGATGCACAATATCAGGCCTAATCAACATCAACATACTGATTCCAGAGCTGACCAAGATCAACATCAACATGGTCAAAGCGGAGATCAGTTGAGGCTGACCCACATGTCCATGCACCGTGAGGCAAAGCTCTGACTATTGCCGCTTGAAGCTCCTCTGGTTCCTCAGATTTCTATGAGTTTGATGCCCATGAGACGATACTCAGATTCTCGCTGCTTGGAGTTCCCCTGGCTCCCAGAGTGTCATTCTTCAGCTCCATAGCTCCAAGGGGCCAGCTTACTGACAAGGTGCTCTCCCCATTCATAGACAGAAGCAAACGGCGTCAAACCAGACAATACAGGCAAGATCAGGACCAGAATAGCATAGAAGGCAGATCTTCGAGCCCAGTAAGGCATCATAACCTTCCCATCTTTGGAAGATATGGTAACCGGGCCATGGAGGATCTGATAGAGAGAGGAAGGGAAGGCGCTGGCAAGAAAATGAAGCAAGCACAAGGTCTCCCAATACAAAAGCCAGGTGTATCCACTCCCTCCCAGAGTGTCCACACAGAACTTCCCAGCTGCTCCACAGGCCGTTCCCAGTAGAATGAGGATGAAGGTGACTGGCATGGCGGCTCCGGCGGCAGAGGAGCGGAGAAAAGCAGAGTAAGCAACCGACAAGATCATGAATAGCCCAAAGGACATGCGGCTTATGACCACCACATGGCACCTCACCGAGAGCCAGCCTGAGCTGAAGGAGGCCACATTCTTCGGAACCCACCAAGACTTGGTCTCCTGGGAATTAGTTTAAAATAGTTATCTTCCTTCTCCTTGTTTGGGGGGGGGGGGGAGTAAAGTGGGATGATTGTTGAGTCAAAGGGTTGACCTTGGGTAAAGAGTTGCAGGATGCTGTGGCCTCTGAGATCCTCCTGTAAGAGAAAGTGTAGGCTCCATACCCGAGAAGACACGACATCAAGATCAGGCCGGCGATGAGAAGATCCAAGCACGTCCTGGCAAGCTCTGCCTGTCTTGTATCTTTTATCTGGGTCTTCAGCTTCTCTTCTCTGAAGGTTGACTTTGCGATGTTCATCGATATCTTAATCCGCTCCAAGAAACTGGCATGCGAGCTCAGATACAACTGGGATCTCTTCAGTTGCAGCTTTTCCATATTCAGACCGATCTCTAATGCCTTGAGGTCATTAGAACGGGCCTGCTCTGCGATGGATCTCTCGAAGGTGCTCAATGTTGACTGACTGAACCCAGAACCGGGTCCTCGCCGAGAGGGTTGACCCAGCTCCTGATTCAATTCTCTCCAAAGGACAACCTGACTACTGGTTGGGATCAGATGAGGAGAACTCTCCTCGATAGCTTTGACAGTATTAAGTGATTCCATGTTGCCTCCAGAGGATGAAGCCTCAGAGTGGTCCCTCAGCCATGGAGCGCAATTGGGCCGGTCTTCAGAGGACTCCTCTTTTATCACTTGCAGCGTCTTCAATGTGCTAGAAAATGACTTTTGAAAATTTCTTATGAAATTGTCAAATCTTTTGCCATACACCTATTCAACAAATGAAAGATCAGAAGATGAACAAAAGAGGTCCTTTTGATCTTCCAAATGAAGAAATAAACAGCCCACTTACATCCTCCACAGCTTCTTTTACAGCCAAACTGCAGATCTGCAAGAGTTAAGAGCAATTATGGGAAGAACATCGCAATTCATGGAGAAGAACCATGAGGGAATCCATTGGAGAACAAGTAAGAGGCGTACTGTTGAAAGACGGTCTGTATGGATCCTTTCTCCACCGGCGTTCTTCCCTCCCAACACCTGGATCAACAAAGAAACCCACCGTCAACAAGCCAATCCCTCCGAAAATTATAAGATAAAAGCTTGAGATGAGGATAAAAGGAAACAAAATTCTAAACGAATTGCAAGCATTTATGATCAACACCCCACCGTAAAAAATATACCAAAGTTAAGCCAACTGATGAATATGATGCCATAGATTAGACGAGCAGGGGAGACATAATATTGCTCAGTTTTTCTGTTGATATGAAATATTATAATGCAGGTAGAACAATTGGTACCCTTTTCGTTGCCCAAAATATGTGAATAATAATAATAATAATAATAATGGCCTGCTCTCCGATTTTTCTTCTTGAAGATGATCACGATCCACATTTATAATTCTAGAGCGAGCGACGTAAAAGGAAGAAAAATAGCATTAACAAGAAAAATACAGAAAAAAAACACACGAAAAACCTCTCAACATTTAACAAGAAGGAACATAAAAAATAGATAAATAATAAAAATTCAAGAAGAGCAAGTTGTGTCTGTTCTTGATCACGTTTTGCAGTGAAGCGAGGACATCTATTATTTTCATAGTTATTATTCACCAGTTTCATGGGTAAATTTTTACTTGCAGCTCAATCGTATCCAGGATGAAAATGAAAGATTTCTTTCCTAGAAAGACATAGCATGGTTACTTTCACATACTCTTTCTTTACAAAATGATGAACAATGCTATATAAACCCATTTTATAAACCCATAGAATAATGAATAAGTGTTAAGCTCCAACTTAATCCAGCATAGTAATGCTTGCTAGGTTTTTCTACGGGTTCTTCAAGAGAAAGGAAATTCTAAGGATTAAGAGATAAATAAGTTTCACATTTATGTTATTGACTGGTAAGTCATCTCCATCAACGACACTGAATCGCTTGAGTTAGAAGAGTTTAAAAAATATACCACAAGATTATCAAGTTTTTATATAAAAAAAAGGAAGCAATATAGGATTATAACAAGGTTATTCCACAGTTTCTCTCTCCTCTGTTTCTCTGTCTCTTGTTCAGGCTCCATTCATCCTCTCTCTCTCTCTCACCCACTCTATCTCTGTCCATTTATCTATCTATCCGTCAGTTTCTCTCCTTCCATCTCATGGCGAGAGAGGGTTTTAAAGTAAAAATCCCATTACAGAAGAGTTTATCCCTTATTTTTTCACCCAAAAAATAGATTTTAGAGATAACAAATAAAAATAATTCCGGTTCGCAAAATCGCATAATTTTTTTTTACAATAAATGAAAATAAAGATCGTAAGATCGATACATGAAAGGAAAGAACGGAAGCCACCTTCTGTATTATTCCTTCCATTTTCACCCAAAAAATAAGTTTTTAGAGAGATCGAATAAAAGTAATTCTGGTTCACACAACCGCAGAAGATTTTAAAAAATAAATGCAAATAAAGACCGCATGATCAGTACATGAATCGAAAGAACGGAGGGTAAAAGGAGATTTGAGCTCGTGCCCAGAAAATTTGACGCTCTTGCATGAGAGATCAGCAGCAAAAAGATTCGGTAATTGTGAAGGATCGCCCCAAGAAACCCATCAGAGAATCTAAATCTTTAAGCAATCGACTAACCTGGGCAACGACCGCCGCAAAGGACATGCCGAGAGGGAGAGCGATGTCCCTGAAATCGGTCCCCCCATGGCGCCCGCCGCCTAGGGTAGGCGCTGACCACTCCCCCACCCGCCGCCGCCGCCGCCACCGCCACCGCCGCTGCCTCAGGTGCAATCCAACTCCCCTCTTCTGCCAAGAAGAAGAGGGCGAGAAAGAAGATGAAGCAGGAACAGAGAGGGAAGAAGATCCCTCCGCCACCAATGCGCCGCCACAGACGCCCTCGCCCTCCTCAGGCCAGTCGCCGGAGGAAGAAGCCTCCATGGAGAAGTGGACGGACATGGGACTTCCCTCCTCTTGAAAGAAAGCTTCGGGCTTTCGGAGCTCGCTTGCCTCCATAGCTCCTAAACCCCCTTCCCGAATAATTTATTACCCTTGACAAGAAAGATCCTCTCTTTTGATCGGAAGAGCAAGAAAAGGGATTTTCAGCTTCTTCAATGATCTTCAAGACCCAAAACGCAGAAGACAAAGGTCACTCTCAGAAGCTTTCCAAAACAAAGGGAAAAGGGTGAAGATATGAAGAAAAACAATTTTATTTCCCTGAAAATGGGCGGAAGTTTTTTTCTGAAAAATGAAATACCCTTTTTTGTGAAGAAAATAATCCATTTATCTCGATTATAGGCGATAACAATGAGAAAATAGGCAAACCAAAGGGTCTGTTGAAAAAGCTCTTGACTTTCTTGGTATCCAGATGTAGAGAAGAAAGAATTTAATAAACTTGACAAACCAAGAGAAGTTCAGGAGTTCAATAACCTTATTATATTCAGATATTCGACATGTAATATAAATTTTCATGATTATCCCAAACAATTCCAATGCGATGTATTCAATCAATTACCAAGAATAACTTAATTACTCAACGTCTAAATTACTTCAATTATGAAATAATGGGTCGAATATCTCATTCAGTTTATTAAATAAAAAAATAACAGGATCATTTTAATACAGTAATTTAGAGATTTTTGGGTGCAATCCAGTTGATATTTTTGAAGTAAATAATTTCTTTATTTATTCACGTGTCAAACATAGTTATTCAACTAATAATATCTGTTGTTTATAGGCTCATTATTTTGGAGCGTTGAATTTTTTTATGGTTACTCGATATAAAAAAATGTATTTTAATGGATATATAAATAAATATCATATTTAGGTTATTTGCTATCGACGGTATTAATCAAGAAAAAACTTGCCGAGCTGTAAAATAAGGGGGGCGTCAGAGTCAAAATTTGAGGGCATAAAGGTAATACTCGATCATCATGAGTCTCGGATTCATCCGGCGCGTGTGGGCCGCATCATAGGACAAGATCTCCTGCAGTGCTCTGCCACGTGTCATGTTAGCTTAGGTGGCACCCGTCGGCCAACAACACAAATGGCTTATGCTTAACGCGTAATGATAGTTTGAGATAAGGCCATGCCACGTCATTGGATCACGATATTTTATACCGTTCCCGAATCTCTCGGCGAAGATTTTGGAATGTTCCCGCTTCTTTTCTCATCTTCCCGCCACTCGCTTGGTTTTCGCTTAATGCAATGCCACGTCAGTCACGTGCTCCCTCGGCGGCCTCTCTCTCTTTTCCTCGTTCTTAAACTGTTCCGCATCGCCCGTTTCGCCGTCTCTGGCTTTCAACGGAGAATCGGGATAATCAGGACCGTTCGATGGAGGATGAGGTTAATATATGACCCCTGTGAAGGGACAAGTGATCGTTCTCCCGGTCCAAAAGCGTTCCAAAGACGCGCACGGAGGTTAGCCCCCTCTTTTTGTCTATTTTTTTATTCCTTTTTTAAAAACAGGTCGGTGCCGCGAATGCCCGAGTATGCGGTAATTTTACCGCATCAGATCCCGTGCATCGACGGACCACCCCATTCCCCCTCTCCTTTCTTTCTCTCTCTCTCTCTGGATCTCTGTGTCGGTGTCGCAGGGCTTTTATCACAGTGAAGAGGGGTAGGGCAGCGGAGACTACGAGGGGGAGTTTCTCTCTCTAGATCGGGAAACCGCCATAATTGGGGAAAATAGTAAAGAAGAAAAAAGAAAAGATTTGGAAGAACAGGAACGAGCCCTAACCCTAGGAGAGGCTGAGGGAGAACCTGCAGGAGGCTCTGCGAGGAGTTCGGTGGAGATCCCGCACGAGGGAGCCACCAGATCTTGAGGAGGAGTACGGTGTGTACAGAGGTGCGTGTTGGTGCTGGGGAAGGGGGGTGGGGATTGGAACGGGGTTTCTGCTGCTTTAGGGTTAGGGTTTTCTGTCATGGACGTTGGCCACACAAGGCGGTGGGGGAGATGAGCAGCGGGCGATGCTACCGGCGGAAGATGATGGGGAGGGGGGCGGAGGGGGGGTGCGGGACAGAAGAGAAGCCCTGCCCCGTGTCGAGGGCGTCCTCGAATGCCGCGGCGAGCACGGCCACCAGGGTGGGAGGAGTCAACGTCTACGTGCAGGCTAGGAAAGCGCTCTGCGAGCACTCTCCCTTCGACGAACCGGAGGAGCTCGCAAGGGTTTCGACGTTGCCGGTCGGATTGGCGACGTCCCTGTTCAAGAGCTCGGATGGCCGCAGGAAGCACAAGAAGTTGCATTCGGATTCCGTCAAGAAGGTCCCCTCAGCGCAGCAGGCGCCGGAGGTGTGGAGCCTGTGGACTGAAACTGAGGAATACTTCCGGCCTATCACCTTGGCCGATGTTGACAAGTTGGCGGTTAATTGGCAGTTTGGTGGGTCCTCTCCGCATAGTTGCTTCACCATGCCGATTTCTCGGAGTTTGCCAAAGCAGGAGCTCCAAAGAGCAATAATCGCTCCTGCACCTGTGTGTGCTGCTAATGGTACAGAGACGGCGGCCGTGGTGAGGGAAAAATTGGATGCCGACTATCAAGAAGAGCCCCAGCGGGTGCAAGAAACTATGGTCAACATGGTCAAGATTGAAAGTACCGCTGGTGGCGTGTCAGCAGAGAAAGATGGGGATTTGGGGGTTGATACTTCCATTAATTGGATCTTGGGTTCCAAACATAGGACACTCCTTGGTTCAGAGGGGCGCCCTAACAAGAAACGGAAACTTATTGGCGGTGATTCAGGGCTAAGAAGATTGCTGCTACTTCCAAATGCACAGGCAGAAGACCTGAGAATCTGTGATTACTGTTGTTTAGGGGACAATAGTGATGGACTGAATAGACTACTACAGTGCAATTCCTGTAAGGTTTCGGTGCACATGAAGTGCTATGGTGTGCTGGATGCTCCTCAGGGTACATGGTTATGCTCATGGTGCAGACAATCCGAGGCAACAAATAATGAGAACAAGGATGGTGACGGGCCTTGCTTGCTTTGTCCAAAGAGGGGCGGTGCTCTAAAAATGGTGGGGACAAACATAGATCAGAGTGGGCGTACCTTGAAATTTGCACACCTATTCTGCAGTCTTTGGATGCCTGAGGTTAGTATTGGTAATATTGAGACAATGGAACCAATTATGAATACAGAAGGAGTTCACGAGACAAGGAAAAGACTGATATGCAGTATATGTAAGGTGAAGCAGGGTGCCTGCATACGGTGTAGCCATGGTATGGCTTTCTGCCTGTATATGTTTGGTGCTTGATAGAAGTTGATGTAAAAAATTATAGTCGCTTACATTAATTCTTCGTCTGTATTCTAAAATATCTTAGTATATAGCATGGCATAATGTCTCTTTTTCTGTTTGTTTGTTTAACAAGGTATGTTGCTATAAGGGGTTTAGTATTCTCACCCTGGGTTTTAGTTCTGTCTAATGGTCACGAATATTGCTATTTTGATATGGAAGCTATTTATATTCCTATCGTGAGAGATACCTTTAGATAATATACCCATAGAGAACGGGAATTGCTTTGGAAGTTATCATTATATACCCCGGGAAACTGGTGCTTCTACGTTGGAGAAATGGGTATTCAGGTTATTTGAACCTATTTGTTAAGCGGGAGAACTGAAGTAAATTTATGAAAAATAGAGATAAACCAATTTTGAATCAGGAAGTGGTGGAAAATTCTTAATGACAGTCTCTGAATTAGGCGAAAAGAAAAGATAGCTTTTACTTTGTTGACTTCAAACTTAAGTAATTCCAACGTTTTACCTAGTAGGGAGCCGTCAAATTACAACATTTTTGGCTTTGTAATTTATTTATTCTCTCTTTTTATTATTATAGAATGTTGAAAATTTAAACGTGACTGCAGTTGTGGTACCGAAAAGAAACTTCTGTTAAGAAATGATAGTCCTGTGTGGAACATGTTGGCAATGATAGTAAGAGGCGAAAGTGGAGTGAAAAAAATCGGCTGCTCGGATAACATAAAATTTGGCCTCAGAGAATAAAATATAAATTTTGGCAATGAAAGTTCGTGCTTCACATTTTATCTAAGATTCCTAGCTATTGTCTTCTTTCTGCTGTCAGAAACGGTAGATGCGGATGTGATTAAGGCGGAGAATAGAGTGAGTCAACAGTAATAGAAATGAACAAAGGAGAAGAAAAAGTTCTTCTTATTTTCCTCCTATTTGTCATGATGTTCTATTCCTGGAAGATTGATCTTCTACATCTACCTCCTACTTTTGATCTGAAAAGTCGCATTATTGGTCAAAGGCTAGGTTTATAATAATCGAGGCCCAGATCAGTATGATCGTCTGTTTGCTTTGGGCCAATGACAGGTTTCCAGCATTTCCCCTTTTTCGTTTGTAGGGAGTCCAATGTTCCATTGATATTTTTGATTTGAAGAGTGATATGTGGTTTTACGATTTGTTAAAATTCCTTTTCTGAAGAGTGTGTGAGTCAAAAATATTCGTTTGATTAATCTAAAAATTTTCTAGGTGTCCGTTCTCTTGGTTTTGTCTTCAGTTGAGTTGTTATTGGAGTGTTTATGTGGATTTGGTGAAGTCCAATGAATCATTGAATTTCATATTCAGTAATGTCTTTTTTAACGCTAATGTTCCGTTTCGTCACTTTTTAGCCCACTCTAATGGCGTTAGATACGGAGTAGGGTTTAAATTATATTACGAAGAGTTCATTATTCTTGCCATCCATGCTACAAAACTCTCCATCATGGGAAAGGTGGACGCAGACATTTTTTATCCTTTGTTTTAAGACGATTTTCCTCTTTCTATGTTATTATTTTTCCTTCAAATCCCTCCCATAATGGGAGATGTTCGTCAAGATTTTTCAATTGTTCAAAGCAAGTGTGTTTTCTTGGAGCCCAAAAAGATGTTATTGATTGTGCCTTGTGGCATGCGGGATCATTAATTTGTTGGCGTCAGATTGTTTATAGTGTCGTGCATTTCCAAGTTGGTAATCATTAAAAAGAAACTATTGCTATTTTCAATTGTTGAAAACTATTTATCAGTTTCAATCAGCATTTGGCATGTTTGGACTGGAGGGAGAGTCTATTACATGCTATTTTCTATTCTATCTAGAGGAACATAAATTATTGCAAGTTCGGGTATAAATAGAAAATGTACGATAAATTATCTGCGTGGTTTTATTGTATGGGTCTAAATATTCTAGCTCAGTGAAAATGGGAGATATCATTTGAGCTCGCCTGGTGAACTTTGTCAAGCACAGCAATAACTTGTGCCTATAGGCTAGATCTGTCTTTTTTTCCAGGTTGTGATTGTATTTACTGATGTTATTTTGTCTACTTTGATACGAGCAGCTTGATTTTCTTGCATGATTCAGCTTTTTCATATGGCGGTAAATGATACAGTTACATTAGTATGCCAATGTATTTTTAGTTTAGGGGTATTGCGACTTTTTTCTCATTTTATCATGTACCTTTCATGATGCCAATAGTTTCTTTATGCTTTCAGGAGCATGTCGAACATCTTTCCATCCAGTCTGTGCAAGGGATGCAAAACTACGGATGGAAATTTGGGGAAAGGGTTGTGATGATGTAAGCTCTTTCTTCCAATACTCACCTCTTCATCTTTCACCAATGGAGGTTGTCCATCAGTTTAAGTTGAACTTGGCCTTATATGCAGGTTGAATTGCTTGTTTTTTGTGCGAGGCACTCCAGTCTTCATGATGGTTTTGCTGTTCAAAATTCTGAAAATTTATCTGGAACTGATCTCGATTGTTCTTTGGCGTCCAATTTGTTGTCTGTGCCTTCAATGAACAAAGTCCAAAAGATAAGAATCACTTGCAAAGACAGAGACAAAAGTTCAGGACGAGAAAATTCAAGTTTTCAATCAGTGACCGATAATGAGGTTGCTTCAGAGCAGGACTCGACAATCAGAGTTAAATCCAACAGTAGCAATTCCTCGTTAAGTGAGATGACATTAACTAATGAACAGTCTTGTGATATGGATAATGGGTCATCAGATATCAATGATCTTGTGATGATTCTCAAGAAGGTAATCTTGAAAGGCTCCCTTTCATTTTCATACTTTTTACTAGTAAACGGCAGCATAAAAGTGAATGTCTCAATGAGTTGTTTTTTTCCCTTGCAATATATTTTTATTTTATTGGCAGTTGTCAGATCGAGGGAAAATAAGAGTGGCTGATGTTGCCTTGGAGATGGGAATTCCATTTGATTCACTGGACTCAGTTCTAGCGGTAGATGCTTATGTATCACTTTTTGTCTGTTCTGACCTTTATTAAGATGTTTATTTCTCAATTTTTTTATTCTTTATCTGCAGGGTCAAACTTCTTCTATTTCATCTGAATTGAAGTTGAAAGTAGTTAGATGGTTTCAAGATTATGTTCACTTGGGTGGCCCCTTGAGACATTTGAACTCTGCTAATGGAGGCAGATTGTCATCAAGTGCAACAGAAGAAAGGGATTGTGGACCAGAAACTGCAAAAGTTGGGGACTCTGGGGCACTTGGTTCTGTACTTGTTAAGTCGCTACCATCACGAAGAAGGACAAAAAGTGACGTTAGGGTTCTGAACGATAATAAAGTAGTATGCCCCACTGGGGATACATTTATCAATGAAAGTTGTAATGTCAAAATGTTCAATGCCGCTACTAGCATTGACAAGGAAGATGCAGGAGATGCTGCCTACTGTGCACCTCCTTTTCATGAAACGGATTATTCCAGTAAAGTGAGAGAGATTTTGAAAAAGGTTGTTTTCTCATTTAATGCCTTCATTTGCTATTTTCATGAATATTTAAAGATATTAAATGTCTTCTAAGGATTTTCTTTTCAAACTGGAATACTTTCGACTTCTGATGGTGAATGATAATAATGACATTGTAATTTATGTTGGGTTTATTCGAACTTATTCATCATAGTTATTAGTTCATTATTACGGAAAAATAATCTTCAATATTATGTGTCCTTGCATTTTTTTAAATTGTTTTCTTTGTTTACTATTTTCATCAAATCACTTTAAATGTATTGTTGTCTCCGCCTCTGTGACATTTGTGACTGTGTAATAAGCATCAAGAGGGATTAATCTGATCTAATCAGAATCAGAAATCATATCAGGCTAATTGGTCTATGTAAGGGACGGGAAAGCAAGGTTCAAGAAATGAAAACTGTTAGATTTTGAAGCTCTTATGTCATATATGTTATATTTATTGAAACAGTTCGGGTTCTTTTAGCTGTAGAACATAAAGAGCTGTTGGTGCCATCTCATTCCTTTATTTCTTCATATTGGTTGGCAATGTACGACAATCTTTTCTTCATTAATTTTCTCTACAGATAAGTTCTTAAAAGGCTTGGGTTTCTCCTGTGTATCATTTATGGGCGTTTGGCTTATAACGTTTTAAACTTCCCTAACTTTGCAGTGTTTATGATTAACGTTTCTTGAAAAAAATTAATTTGGTCGAATCGATATTTCCTTCCAAGGGGTGAAGCTTAACGTCTTCATCATTAACATAGTCATTTGTAAGCTAAACTTTTCAGTTATTCTTCGTTTTGCACATGGAGAATATATTTATCTGTTAATCTTTGTTCTTCAGATGGAAGAGGGAGCTTCTTGGTGTTCAGAAGTCAATTCTTCGGTTCAGCAGCCTCAACAATCCAATGGTAATCTTTGCTCGTTTTTTCTTTACTAAGGAACTCGTTCTATCATTTGAATCAGTAAAGATTCCAAGCTTCTGAGAGCACGTCCAAGTCGTCCTTACTTAACAAGAAGCATGCAAATCACTGTTGATACCTGAGATCCGGTCTCTTGGTTTATGACTATAAAAATCCTAACCTTGTTGCAGTCAAAACATGACATATAATCTCGACTTTCTGCTTGGTGCTTTCTGTTTATCCTTCATGCATTATAAATAGTTCGGAGTTGATGTGGAACTTTAATACTTCTTTATTCTGTTTTTAACAAAGCAAGTCTCTCAGTAAGGTAGCCATTATTATGGCACTAGCTGTGGTTCATTTGATTTAGAAGTCAACATGCTTCGTTGGGCTCTTATCATTTGGAATTGATGTCTTGGTTTTAGTGTTTTTTGTTTTTGTCATCTGTCTTTAGTACTCGGTGTTGACTTACAAATCAGCTGATATTATTTTGGAATAAAAACCTGCTCGTTGTGCATATTAAAGTGGTAAGTGCTTCATATGTTTAATGCATATATTTACTTCTCATATTATGTCATAGAGCAATGCCATAGTTTTATCTTTGGGATTCAGTTTGTTTTTGAACGAGGCCTCCTTATCAGAACTTAAGCCTACAAGTAGAATCCCAAGGATGACAAGTTTCTGCAATCTGATGGTTCATCGACTAAATATTAATACGCATACCTACCTTAGTGTTGTGTGAACTTTAAGGTTCGCACTAAAATGTTTTCCATACCTTCGTCAGATAATGTGCAATAATAATGCTGTTAAATTTTTCTCTGATTGAATCGTTCATTTTTCCGTATCACCTTGATCTCTTGATTCATTTGCTATGTAGGAAATCTTCTGTTGCCGCAGTGCCAAGATTCACAAGTGTGTCATCAGCAGCATCCTATTGTCCAAGAAATGCCATCTTTTTGTTCTGGTGTTAATCAGGATGCGAAGCTTTGTAGTATTGCGCAAAATTCAGGCGATGCAAGCACACAGGAGCAATCAGAATGCGAGGTTCCTACAGTTACTGCTGGTGCTTTTGCCCCAAAGTGAGATTTTCAGAAATTGCTTATTATTTATCTATTTCACCTCATTTTATTGGTTTTGACATGTGTGGCGGCTTGAATTTTTTCAATGGTTTTGCAGTGGACCGCATCCCGGTTCTAGGGTACACCCATTTATTCAGAAAAAGTTGACAAAAATAAACCACTTTTTAAGTTGTAAGGAGGACATCTCAGAAGCTTTTTCTGGCGGTACATTTTGACGTAATATTTTCGATGGGAATAAAAATTGAAATTCTTTTTATGTCTATTACTTCTATTTTGGCAGGTCGGGACGAAGTTACATCATTCATGGAGACAGATTTGTCAATGAAAAACTGTTCAAACCAGCAGTCAACACATTCTGTGTGTGCTAGCCATAGTCCTTTGAACGACGCGAATTTTGACCCATTGGCTAGAGCCAGGGGTGTAGATATCATAGGATTTTCTCCTGAAGATGAAGTAGAAGGGGAGATTCTTTATTTACAGAATAAGCTGCTCAACACTGTTGTTGTAATCAAGCAAAGATGTGGTCAGATATCCTTCCTTTTATTTTATCTTTCTCAAAGTATTTTCTTTCTTCAGCCTTTTTAATATATAGCTTTTCTAAATTCTTTTTTACTTTTTTCTAACTTGGAAACCATTCAGATTTTATCGTCTTAGTGGATTCCACATTTCCTTTTCTATTGATGGAATGATATTTTTTGTTTTTTAAAACTTATCAGGACACGAATTCTTTCATTCAGTATCTGTGAATATCAAATCAGGTTGTCCGTAAAATATTCTCCCTTTATTTATTTCATGATAAAATGGTTAGAAATTATTGCCTCATCTTTGGGCGGATGTGAGTGGATGTGCCACAGATTTTAGGCCAGATGTGGGTAACTATGTGAAAGGCGTTACCCTTTTTTTAGGCTGTTGACATTGTTTTCGTGATATTGTTGTTTAACTGTAGCAAATCAATCGCAGTTTTTTCCTTCTGTCTTTACTTGTTGGGATTATTAGTGTATGATGCCAGTATGATCCCATGTGCTATATTTTTTAACGTTGTTATTTAACTTTACAGAAAAGTTGATGCATAGGGTTCTTAGGCGTCTTCCTGAAGAGCTTGATTCTTTGAAGAAACGGAGATGGGATTTAGTGGCTGTCAACCAATATTTGCGTCATCTGAAGGAAGCCAAGAAACGTGGAAGGAAGGAGAAGAGACACAAGGAATATCAGGCTGCACTTGCTGCTGCTGCCGCTGCTGCTATTGAAACATCTTCACGGGTGTCATCCCACAGGAAGGAAACAAATGATGTGCTCCTCTCTTCCCAAGAGGTGATAATCATATTTTTCGGTTGTTTTATGCAGCTGTTCATTATATATATAATTGGGCGTTTGGTTGCATTCTGTGTTGTCGGTAGATTATTATGAGTCATGTGAATCCTCATCCGAGTTTGCTTTTTCTCTGTTTTCCTTGTTTCTTTGTCTTCTCACATCAAGGTAACATATCGTTTCTGAGTTTTGGATTTACACAATAGGTGCTAAACAACATCCGCAATGTTTTTCAATAAATGTTGTGAAGGTTGACGCTGGAGCTGGGAGGATTGGTACTCCGGCTTCTCAAGTGAAGGAGATACATTTGAAGTTAGCAACTCCAAAAGTTGCATTGGAAAAGCAGTCTGATATTAATGAAGAATTGTGTGATATCTGTGGACGAGCTGAGACGATGTTGAGCCGGATCTTTATTTGTGGCGGGTGCAAGGTATTTTAAATTCTTGATGTTATTCTTTTACTTTTTTGTGATATCTGTAACTCCTATCTCTGTGAATTTTTTGCATAGGTTGCAGTCCACTTGGACTGTTACCGAAGACCTAGGAGTCCTATAAGCTCCTGGTCTTGTGAAGTCTGTGAAGAATCTTGTGTGGCTGAGTGCGGTCTATGCGGTGGTACTGCTGGTGCTTTTAGAAAAACTGCAAATGGGCAATGGGTTCACAACCTCTGTGCAGAGGTAGTTGAGATTAATATCTATCCAGTAATATTTTGAATAAACAGTCTCTCCATTTTTTTAACTTCTCTGGGCGTGTATGCTTGTTTGACTTCTTACGGATTTGCACTTCAGTGGGTCCTTGAAACAACTTTCAGACGAGGACAAGAAAATCATGTTGAAGGAATGGTAAGCTTTTTCTCATGTTCAAGTTCTTTCTATTTCTTATATGCACTGTCTTTGTTCCCTTAACATCAAAATGTCATGTATATTTTCTGTACGATTCATGTATTATAACCATCCTGGTCATAACCATTGTTTCCGCATTTCCATAATTTGTGTTTTGTGACCATTTGTCAGGAGGTGGCTTTGAGAGACAAGGAGTTGTTAAGTTGTGGCATATGCCATCAGAAGATTGGCGTATGCATAAAGGTTAGTGTTGTTGCGTGGTTTTCCATTTTCTGGTATTTGCCCCCTTTTTCCCACAATGAAATTAATCATAATTTTTAAAAACTTATATCTTGCAGTGTAGTCATGGAGACTGTCACGTTGCATTTCATCCATTTTGTGCTAAAAGGGTTGGCCTGCTCGTGAGTGTGAGAAACATCAATGGGAAAGTGCATCATAAGGCGTATTGTGAAAAACACGGGACTGAACAAAGACTTAAGGTTAATATATCCTTTTATATAGGATAATTATGCGAGGATGCCTTATGTTTTTCGTAATATCATTTATTAATCTTTCGTTATTCAGGCTGATATTCAGCAGTATAGCACAGAGGAGCTCAGGAGCATTAAACAGATTCGGGTGAGATGACGATTTCCAATCATGTCTTTTACTTTGCTGAGCTCATGCTGTTGTTTTTAGTGAAGTTATGCATGTGTAATTCGTTCTTTACTTGGTTAATGTTTTTACAATATAATCAAAGGGAGGCGAATCAACGACTAGAGTGATAACTGATGATCAGAGCGTTTTGGTGAGAAGTTGCTTCATTCTACTGTTCTTGAACAGTAAATCTACCTTATCAAGTTTTGATTGACAGACTCTTTTTGTCTTTCAGACCTAGATACGAATGACAGAAATATCAGTAATTTTCTAAAATCTCAATTTACATAAGTAACTCAGTTTTGTCTGAGTCATTTACGAGAGCTGGTGAGCAGGACCTAAACCTTATTCTTCATTTCGTTTGCTGAGAGAGATCGAGAGTTGCCTCAGAAAAAGGCCCAATTCCTCAATAGGAAGTTGCAGTTTGGGTGAAGTAACCTTAATTTTATGGTTAGGTAGCCACGTGCTCAAAATATTTTTTTAGGAATGAACCTTCAATTTATTACTGTTTTAAATTATATATATGTATGAAAACAGATCCCTCTGCACCCTGGAAATTATATAGACATCTTGCTCAATTATTTTTTCTCATATGCTATTTGGAGAATTGTGTACTGATATGAGAAAGTTATGCGATTAAGGTTTCTGATTTGCGCTGCCATTTGAAATCCCTTGGTAGGTTGAACTGGAGAAAGTCCGCCTCCTTTGTGAGAGAATCATCAGAAGAGAAAAGCTAAAGGTATATGTTTGGTTTTGCTGACTAATGACATCATCTAGCGATATGATTTGGGTTAATTCAATGCTTTGATCCATCATGATTTTACTTAATCTTGATTTTATGATTTGGACGAACTTTTGTTTTTAGAATTTTGGAAGACGGTGCTGAAGCATAGACATGAAATAAAGAAGTGCATTACTTTTGTCAACGAAAAGCTAGTCATTGCTTTTTTAATGCATGATGCACTAATTTATGATTTTTTTTGAACAAAACATAGAAACTTATCAGCTTTGACAAACTTTCTCATACTGCACTCCTATTTATTTTTTTAGATCCTGCAGTTTTATAGTTCATGGTTTCTTTACACACAGACATCTCTGTGACTGACTTCTATGCAAATCTTTAATTTCTGTTTTATGCAAGAATTCTGTTGTTTTTATCTGTTTAAGCTGTAGAATTTAAAAGACTCAGAAAGCTTCTAGTTTTATTTTCATGGGTTCTTCATTTGAATCAGTTTGAACATGCAAATAAATTCGAAAATGGCATTGCATTTATTTCAAGGTGAAAATATCACCATTTTCATTTTGTTTAAAGCCCGAGTGAAACCCACCAGTCTAGAAATATTGTTGATAGATTTGGATGCCCTAATATTTTACGCCATTACATGCTTTTCTAACGTGATGAGTGTTTTGCAGCGAGATCTGGTGCTCTGTTCGCATGATATTCTTGCTGCAAGGAGGGATTATGTCGCCTTCTCATTGCTCGTAGACTCGTCCTCCTTTGTACCTGGTGTCAGTTCAGAGTCAGCCACTACTTCTATAAATAACAGGTCCTACAGTGACACACTTCAAAGATCAGATGACGTTACAGTGGACAGCTCTGTTTCTGTCAAACGCAAGGCTAGGCTTCCTGTAAAACAGGATCTTGACGGAAAGACAGATGGCAGCCACACATCCCAACTAGCTTCGGCCAGGAAGGGAGCCGATAGAATGGCATCTTCTGGGAGGCCAGTCCCCAAGAGACCAGCGCCCGTCTCCTCTCACAGCTCTGTGGCCAGGGAAAAGAGGCTTAAGCCTAGGAAGGTAACTGAGAAATATGATGTGTAAAGAAGCTTGATGTCTCTTTTTGGAGAAACTTGATGCATTTTGACTTGGTTCTTCTCGCAGCACATGGAGATCTTTCAGAAGGAAGTTGTGATGACTTCCGACCAAGCATCAATTCAAAATAAGCGGTTACCCAAAGGATTTGTATATGTCCCTGTTGATTCCCTTCCAAACTCCCATGGCGTGGAGACTCTGGAGCCACGAAGGCCGGATGGGTAGAGCCTTATAGAGCATTTCAGGGGGGACTAATCTCGATGCCTCCATTTGTATGCCTGGATGGCCCCAGAATCAGTCTGTATACTTTTGCAAGGAAACGCATGATGAGATTACATCTTACTGGTGAAAAAAAAAATGGTGAATGGGTGAAATGGCGGAGTTTCTGGCCAGTTTGTATAGCCAAGGAGGCAATGGCGCCTCTAAAGTTTTTGCATCAACTTTGTATATGCATTCTGAATAATTGCACCGAGGGAAAGAGTCACCTCCCCTGCTAGTTACTATGCAGGCGTCCGCAGCTAGGCTACTGACAGAGGGACTACTCGGCTGGAGGGCAACATGGGGACTTAATTTCCGAATTCCTATGTTTATGATACTTCTAGGTACTTCTCTTATGCCATAGACTCTGTGATTTTATCTTGTAGGATCTTTGCAACTTGCCGTTACCCAGAACTTTTATGGTGGTACAGATGTGCAGGCGGAGTAATTTTCTGTAGATCACTGCCATTTTTGAAAATGCAGGCAAGCTCAATCACAGATGCAGCAGCCTCTCTGTTTGCTCCATTTTTAAGGCAGTTTTCTGTTCTTAGGGTGATCTTCATACATGTAATGGGTATATTGTAGGAGAAGCGCACCATATCTTGTAATAAAACACGATCTTGGCCAGGATTTTGTACCAGAGCCTTGTTTTGCCAATTTCTCTGCCCACTGTTCGCAAGTGTTCTTCAGAAGCTTGGTTGGCATCCGGAAGACCTCTCCACACATGGGCAGGGATTAGCGATTAGGATGCCATTTTTTTGTTACTCTAGTTTTCTGATCCGACAGTTTCTGAAGGGTAAGTAACCTGGTTGTGATCCATTATTTTCCATCCATACTTCATGAGCAGAGATGATGAACTGGTTCCCATCCTTGTTTTCAATCCTGCAATGGCTTTCTTTCATGTTTAAATTGTTCTAGCTGATGATGTGCGGGACTCTTGAAAATCTGTAATAATAATAATAGTAATAATATAATACGATGGATAAGCTGATGTTCTTCAACATTCCAATCCTTCTCTCATGTTACTCCCCACAGATCTTCATCTCTTGTTGCCTATTTTTATCTCCGGGTAGCTGTGGGTAGCATTATAATCTACTTTGCTGCCTATTCTTTTGAACAACCTAGTTCTTGAGTTTGCAGCATTTTTGGGGACGAAGATGAGCTCCCTTTTGTCATGAATTGAGGCCTTTGCAGGAATTTTGTGCTCATATTGATTGAATTTAAGTGAGATGAGAACAGAGAACTCAGATCAGGAGGAAAACCTACACAGATGAATGAGTTGAATTTCTTTTTAGCAAAAAAAAATCTCTTTTTTTTTTCACACTTATATAGGTAGTAATCCAAAGAATAGGGATTTTTAATATAACCCTAAAGATTATATATTTATCTTTGTGAACTTTTTTTATTTACTTTGAAATTATTAATGGTATGGTCAAAGGAAAAGTTTTTTTTTTCTTTGGTGAAGAAAGGGCAAGGCATTTATCTTTTTGAAGTTTAATAAGTTTTTATTATCATGAGTTAATAATTAGTAAATAATATAATTTTAGTCTTAACTTATGATAAATAGATTTATATTTATGTTAAAGTATAAAAGGTGATTTTCAGTTGATTAATATTAAATTTTAGGTAATTATGTGATTTTATATAAATTTATATAATTTTTATAGTCTTGCTTTTGATATAAATAAAGAAAAAGAAATAAAAAATAAAAGTAAGACAAAATGAGGGAGACTTGTTGGCTAGTTGAGCTTACAAACGAGTTGGAAGTTCAATTGGAGAGTAGTCGTGAGTAAGGGCTCGAGTAACTTAGATTGATAGAGGCATGTGTGCACCACTCTCTTTTTATGTCATCGGTGATTAGTCGGTAGTGAGGCAAGGAGTGGTTGTACACGTGAGAGAAGTGACTTGTTTAGAAATGAAACATTAGTATATATTCATCTGAAAAATTGGTGCACAAGTGATGTGGGATTAAATCGGCCTTCCTCAGAAAGGGCGGGCAACTAGCGCAAGTTTAAATCCTCCTAGAGCCAAAACTCATATTTTTATCTGATTATCACGACTTTCCTACATATCACTAGTGCAGGATTAAGCAACTAGAATCGTTGGATCATCAGTGAAAATCTCATCAACACAATTCGTAGAGCATTGTTACTAAAATTATTGAACGATTTGCGATAAAAAGATCCCGAATCTATCAAGTAAAGCATCTCCAATTGATCCACGAACAAATTGTCATTGAGAAGAAGATGATCCATCGAGAGACGAGTCGCCACCTCTTGAGAGCATATCAGATGTGATAAAAAACTTCCTCTTATTATGCAGACTTGAGGATGAAGCTCCTTGACACACGTCCCACCTCCATCTAGCTCTTCTCCGTTAGGTGATAGCCATCGGAGAGCCGCAAAGTTGTCGTTTTTTTACTCCATTGGGTGATAGTCGCCGGAGATGATTCGACGACCCATTTCATTAGTCTTTAGACTTCGCAAGGAGATCTAGAGATTGGCCACGTCGTCTTTATCCAAGGAGAGCCTTCGAGGCTCTAGACACTGCACAAGGATCCTCTCCAACACTCAAGATTTCAGTGTATTGTCGATGCATCACCGTCGCGATGCTAGAACTCTATTTTCTTACTTTCAACTTACTTTACGCTTCATTTAGTGATTTTTTTTGTGATTTTAATTTACCAAAATATACTTTATTCTATTATGATTATTTTAGCTTTTATAGATCTTAATTTAATTAATTAAATCATCTGTAATCACTTACGTAAGAATCGTCGGGTGGAACTCTATTTCCGCCTGATTTGCATTCGCCGGGTGTTGATGTCATCTTGATGTATGCACCCTTATTTCTGTTTTTTTGAATTTTAAATATATTTTATTTTTATTTTTTAATATAAAATTGATAGAAAATTATATTCATTGAGAAAAATTCTGAATAATTACCATAGATTATATTACATCTCTTGATCGACTTAGAAAATTATTGCTATTTTTTTGAAGTTTTATTAATTATAATTGATATATTTATTTAGAAATACTTCTAAATATCTAAAAAATCATATTTTTCTAGTTTTATAAAATTTAAATTTATGTGATTTACTATACAACGATTGAGTCACGTCAGAGCCCCCCCATCAAGTAAAACCTCAATTGATGAATGAGTTGATATTTCTCTCCAACAATATTTTTTTTGTTTTTTTCGTAGTTACCAAGGTTGGAATGCAAAGAATGAGGAATTCCAACTCAAAAGATTGTACATTTCTCTTCTAGCGCATCTTTCTATCTACTCTAAAACTACGAATGGTGTGGTGCCATACCTCCATTGTCATCAAGTGAGGTTCTTGTAGTGGGGTCTTGATGTGTTTATGCGTGTGCACATGGTGAGCACATTGTGGTGGCATTGCATGGCATGTATGGTGGTTCATGGGAGGTGTGTGGACGTGTGCACCATAGATGCTGGCCTCTGTTGATGTGGGGAGAGGTCCTCACATGTCTTGGCAGTCAGCATGGCATGGCACAACATCAGCATGAGAGTGGGCACGAAATGAGATTTGAGGTAGGAAGCATGATGGGCAAGTAGTAGAGGCACGATACATGTGCACATGACCGGCACATGTGTGTGTGATGTGGTTGGGCAGCTGACATGTAACCATCAACTAGCTGTGTGGGGGTGCATAACTGACATGCCATAACTGCCCTACAGTGAGTTACGGCCATGCTTAATTAAGGGGGTCTTCATGCCTAGTTAACAAATAGCGGTGTGCCTTGACCTAGTTGATATAGAGGCAGTAAGATGGGTCAATCAAGTGTCTTCCTCCTTTACTACTTAGATGCTTGGTTTAGAAGAAAAGTAAAACTCTCTAATCTCTCTTGTCCATGCTTCTGTGAGGTTAATATGTGGTGTGCTGCAAGCATCTGAAGTTGTACACAAGCTATCATCAGTAAGGGTTGATTGGCTGTCTACAAGACATTGGCATCAAAGTTATGATTTGTTTAAGTAAAATAGAGATCTTACATGATTGCAAAGGATTGGACACAAGGTTTATACATTGATTATGATTCAAGTCAATGGTGACTAGATCTTTGCTCTTGAAGAGCATATGTGAGGACTGCCTCAACCTAGGTTGGGGCTTGCTTGTAGGTGACTTAGGTAGATGAAGCCTAAGTCAAGAAGTTGTGGGAGGGTTATAAGACTCTCATGGTTGATACAATATTGGGGAAATATTTGGTGGTCACATTAATTTTTTAGAAGGCACTAAATGATGAAATGTTTTAGAGCCTAAAGTATATGTAGAGACCCACAACACACATGAGTTGGAGAACTTCATATAAGATATGGTGTCGTACTTTCTAACTAGTCTCACCTCAAAAGAGAAGGTCACATTTTGCTAATATGCGCCTAATAGTGGATATAAAGCTCTAGTTGAAGATGAGATGAATGCATCTATTGACTCATGAAGAGAGTTTGTTCAAGAGCTGTGAGAGTAGTTTAATATTATGCAAATGGTGTGAATTTCTATTAGACAACTCAATCATACCAAGATGATATAAGACTACATCAAGAGGTTTTTACCCATTATCTTGGACATTAACATGTTCGAAGATGACTAGTTTTTCAATTTTTTTGTTAGATTGTAATTGTGGGTACAAGTGAAAGTCAGTGTTCAGGAGCTTAGAACTTGAAGATGATGATGATGGTTGTTGAAGCTCTTATCAATTGATAGAACTTCATCAACTCCATAATGTGTAAGGAGGTGTGAAGCTGAAGGAGAACTTAGAAGGGCTGTCCAAGGGTAAAAACATGGGTTACCAAGGTGGGGCACCTACTAAGGGCTAGGAAGGACCTAAGATGGTGGATTGATGAGTTCAAGATGATCTATGTGGAGGCTAGTGTTAAGGGCTGAATCAGACTCACAATGGTAAATAATGAGATTACCCACAACTTCTTATCAAAGAGGTAAACAACATATATGAGCCTGCCATTATCATGAGAAGATGACCAAGTTAAGGTCATCGACTCGAAGACATGTACCCTTATCGATATTGGATGTGGTGTCATGGTAAAGGTTGAAGTGTGGGAGGATGAGGTAGACATCCTACTACTTCACATATACATCATACTTGATATAGACTTCTTAGTTTGTTTAGAGGTGGGGGTGCTTCCTCACTTATCTCTTTATAGGGCATTTGTCACAAAATCAAGCTTATGTTAGGCTTGTGGCTACTAACATATGCACTCTACATGATTTGTTTGAAGGAGCTATTGAGATAACTATGAAAGTTGGTTTGATGTGCCCAACATCTAAGGCACCTTACAAAATGTCAATCTTCTTCAAAAAGGACAAATTACTTTAATTAATAGAAAATGTTTCATAAAAAAATATAATAAAACTTCCATGAAATTATAAAGTTATGACATTTAGATGGTTGGAAACGAATTAATATTCACAAAAAGCATTTGAATCGTAGAAAAAACATCTTAAAACAAACTCATAATATTGTTTTTTGTGTCAATCACCTAATGACAAAAATAGAGTTGCCAAAAGAAAATTAAGCATGGAATCAAGAAAACAAGAATTAAATTAACAAGCAAAAGTATAATCATGCTATGTGCTAGTCACCCACATGATTGGACTAGTCAAAAAGAAAATAACATAAGATTTAGAAAGAAATCAAATTTCTAGGTTTCCCTTTGCATTGGTCCACTTGTTTTTATTTGTCACCTATTGAGAAATCAACCTATCAAAATGGAAGCTCCTCCTTTTTGTTGCTGGGCTCCACTTGCCACCATTAGGCAACATAAAAGCTCCCCCTTTTTCCTTCTCTCCCACTCACTTATTCCCAATAACAGGTCTTGATGTTAGGTCTAACATTTTTGGCCAACTATAGTTGCACCCTACCACCATTCATAAATTTATTAAAAATATATATAAAAATAGATTTTTCTAATTCTACTTTATACCACTTTCCTATTATTGTAGAATATTTCTCAAAAGTATGTCTTAGAGAATCATATTATAATACATATAGGAGAATCAAAAGTGAATATTTAAGAATAAAATATAAAATATATTATTATCATATTGTCATAATTAACGTATAAAATATATATTAACAATCAATTATCTAAATATGTAGTGTTTATCCTAAAATAAATGAACTACTTAGTAGAGGTGTCTCATCTCTTTTGCACCATTATTGTCAAGATATGGGGTTTCTTAAAGACATTGTGTTACACCCAAATTAGGTGAAGGTGTTGGGATGTCCTTTATTTCTAGCTAGCCTTTCTTTTTACTCAGATTGATAACGTAACCAATAGAAAATGTTATTGTGGCCCCTCTACAAGAATTGCCTCTTGTAACGACATGGTGGTGCACTTGGTGGAAGGACACAATGAGCATGGTAGAGTAAAAGACACAACACCAACATGCGCCAACACAACGTCTATGTGTGTTGGCACAATGCTCGTGTATGGTAGCACAACATGCATGTGTGGTGGCATGGCACATGTGCATGTTAGTATGACAAGTACATAAGAAGGCATGATGATGCTGCATATAGTCATGATGTGGCAACCTAAAGCCACAAGGATAAATGATAATGTCACGAGTATGATATCATCTGGAGGGAGAGTAGAGGACATCACTACCCTGATGTCAACTAGAGTGGGAACTCTTAGTCTCATACTGAAATTATAAGAAATATTGCCCATTGCTCTATCTATAAAGATAGACCCCTAGCCTTATGTATGACTTATCATTTGCTATCGAGAATATCTATTTGGTCATGTTCTAGGTCATTAGGGATAAGAGCACCTAAGGTCTAACAAGAAATTCATGTAGAGCAGTTGATTTCCTTGTCAAAATGGTGTTAGAGCCAAGTTAGACCTTCTTACTCCTCTCGCTCTTCTTTGCTAGTAATAGTTGAGTGATGGAAGCGAAGGGTACAAGTGGTACTTGAGGGCAATGAATTGCCCAACTTGTTAAGTAGCAAGAGACCATGACAAGAGCTGTGGAAGGCCTTGTGGGCCAATTGGGCCAACTACAAATTGAGTCCATTAGCTTACAAGAGCAAATGGAGGCTTAGGTTGCCTAGGCTGAGGAACATGCCTAAGAGGCCATGAGTGCATGGGAGTCCCTATCTAGAAAACTTGATGAAGAACTCTAGTCAATATATGACTAGACATGGGAGATGGCCACTTCTTATGAATTTTAGAAAAAGGAAATCTTTGTATTATGGGCATAGTTTGTTTACATGGCAGAGTTACAACATCAAATGAAGTTGTGAATAGTCTCCAGACAATGATGTGCAATGTGTCAAGACCTCAAGATCAAGGTCTAGGCCCTAGATCACCTTGGGTCAAGGCACTTGAGCCTAGACCTTCCTTAAGTCAAAGAAATGCCATGTTAATTAAAAATTTTCTTTGGGATTTATAAAGATATTTGAATGTGAATACCTCATCATAAGAGGAAAATGTCTTTCTTAGTAGCTTATTCCTTGCAAGGCATGCCAAGACATGATGACGACTCCAGTCACAAGATAGGTCAAGACCAAGGTTAACATGCTAGGATGAATTTATCAAAGAGATTTGGACCAATTTTATCCCCCTAACTCTAGGCAAACTACCCAAACAACAATGAGACGATTAAAGCACACATAGGCTATCTAGGAGTATGTGAAAAGGTTTTTTATACATCTACTAGAAGTACCATGAATGAATGAAGAAGACAAGCTTCATTAAATCATTAAAGGGTTGTAAAATGGGCTCAAAATGAACTTTGTCAACAATGATGGTGGTGGATAGACTAATTGATAATCGGCGGCAACAATAGGATAACAGTAGTGACACCTCTCAAGGGAACAAAAGGTGCAACATCAATTGTAGATGAGAGGGTATGTTGTTAAAGATAGTTTTTTATGTTTAAATAATTTTATTATTTTATTATTTTATTTTTGTGCATTAACATATAGAATAAATATAGTAATATATTATTATTTTTAGAAGTCTAAAGTTAAATGACCTAGTGTAATTTTTTATGCTTAAAAATATAAAGATAGAATAAAAAATATCACCACCTACTAGTAAGCTAGCACCCAATAGTTGACTCGGGGGGGGGGGTGCTGTGTTTGAGTGGGTGGACCTAGATTGAGGGAGCTACGAGCTAGGCTCCAGCATCAAGCAGCTAAGGACTCACTTCACACGTGTGTGTCACTCTCCTACCACTTCTTGGTGGCCAACGGACATGGAGCAAGGAGTGTCATAAATGTCCTAAGATGATTTTGGTCATTAATTTATTCAAGATAAGAGATCTCTACACTAAAAACATAACTTTGATATATATTTAATTTAATCATTAAAAAAACTTCCAATGTGAAATTAAATGTTTTCATTTTTTTTAAAGGTAGTGGTGTGAGATAGTTTGATCTAGCAAAGCTAAGTAGACCATGTTGTTAAATAAGGTAAACTCATGTTGTGGGCAAACCACCACAATACCTAAAATGTGAAGTAGTATGTTGTGGTTCATGAATCATATGCCATTTAGTATGCACATGAGTAGAAAGAATGATTCAATGGTGAGTGAAGTGCCACTATACTTGAAACTTAAGTTCTCAATTGGCAACGGTTTGTACTGAGTTAATCATATGTTATCTACTGTGTCACGTGACTAGGCACACCTAATTCAATGGCATGTAAAATGTCATGATATCGAGAATTTAATTTCTCACACATATTATCATTAGTGATATAAAGATAATTCTCAATTATTATCTAGTAAAATAAATATTATCATTATCTTTAAAATTCTAATGAAAATTGTGATTACGACATCTATTTTTTCATTATTTTGTGTGATCAATGCCTTTGATGATCGACAAGCTCATTCTTTTTTTATTACACTCAAGGCCTCCAACAAATGGTTAGCTCTTTCCTTCTCTTCCTAAATGACAATGACAATATAGTTGACCCCTCTTTTCAATGGATGTCTCTAGCACGTGACGCAACACTTTTGGACGATACTTTTGTAACTTTTAGTGTGATGTGGCATGTTCTAACAAAATAAAGCCACAACACTAATGTCTTTAATTACCTAAGAGATAGACTAAATTTGAAAAATATATATATTTCTTTTTTTAGTATTTACTACTATAACAAAAGGGTGCTTGAACTAAAGTCGTTTATGAGACACACAAATTACTATTATAAATTATTTGAAACTTCTCACAAATTGTTGCATCACTTATTAAACTTTTAAGGAAGGATCAAAAGTAAACATGATCAAAGACATATTAACAATCATTTGATAGCTTGTGAGAGTTGGTCATAGAAGAACCCATATTATAATTTTCAAACTTTAGTAAACATTTCAAGGTAGATATAAATACCTCAAAAGTAGCTCTCAGAAGTGTCTTAATGTAGGAGAGACAATCCATAGTTTTTAAAGGGAGTTGAATGACATTGAGTAATGATATTTAGTACATAGAAATAAAATGACGATCATAGTATATTGCATACAGACTTAGTAACATTACCTTCTTGATAAGTTTGTTGTTATTTATATTGACAATGTTATTATTAATCATTTCAATTCTCATAAGAAATTATCTCCTAAATAAGTTCGGTGATAAGACTTGTTAGCAAAGTATGACTTCTCACTTGAGTACACTCTCAAATGAACTAATGTAGTTGTTAATGTCTTGAGTCAATGATGAATCACTGAGGTCCTAATTATCATCTTAACCAGCTCTAGTATCTTATTAGATGAAATAAGTGCAATGTAACTACATATCTAACAACCAAACACCTCTTTCAATAGATGGAGTTAAGAGAAACCCAATGATTTTAAGTAGATGATTACATCTTTATATGAAAGGTTGGAGACTTTGTGTCATAAGGTGGTCAATTGAGGTGGCATCTTCTTCAAGAGACACACGACACAACACATGCAAGACATCTTAAACAATAACAAATACAAGCTTTGTTGACTAGTAAGTACTTCTGGCCTAATATGGAGTGGGATGTGGAGACATATACTTTCTCATGTTTAATATGTAAGTAAGATAAAATAAAATGATAAAATCTTCTAAGGACACTAAAGCCTTTGTTCATCTCAAAGGGACCATGAAAATCTTTGTCTATGTACTTCATCATAAGCCTCTCATGACACTATCTTGGTGGTTGTCAACATGTTTTTCAAAAATGTGACATTTATATCAACATAATCAAAAGAAGTGACATGGTTTTTCTTGACATAGTCAAATTATGAGGGATACTATATGATTTTGTCTTTGATCACAATCCCCGTTTCACAAAACAGTTATAACCAGTTTTCTTCACCTTTCTTGACACTTACTAACTTTTCTACTATATTTCATCCACATATAAATTGATAGAAATAATAGGTGAATGACATACTAGAAGATTATCTATGGCATTACATCACAACATGATAAGGCAACTAGGTTGAATTACTTGACGTCACTCAATTTGCCCACAACATCTAACACTCTATGTCTACAAGACACTTATCATTTGAATTGATCACAAGCTAACAACCTCTAACACCTCTAAAACTTATCAAAATGTCATAACAACCTTATCTAAAAAAATTATCAAAATGTCAAACTTATCTAAAAAATTATAACAACCTCACTAAAGAGACTCGAGAAGTATTGACAAGAGCAATACATATGATGAAGAAGAATATTGATTGACATCAACGAAAAGTTGAGTATGTAGTGAGGTATTGAGTATATATTTATCTTACTCACATTAGCCTCTAGGGGTAGAAATGTCATAATATGTCTATTTGATAGATCTTTTCTAAATTGTGGCTCAATTAGGATGATTGACTATCTCACCTTTTAAATAGTAGATTAATGTCGGCTTCAATTCTCACCTAGTCTTCTGATACACTTAGTCTTCTATGTCTCTCTATTGAAAGTTTATCATGTAGATGAGGAAGATCCAGAACAAAATTGACTACATCAACCTTCACCAATGATACATGTGCACTATTCTATCCTACTATTGATGATATTAAAAATATCAAGTAGTTAACAAGAGAGGATGAAACTAAGTTCACCATAACACCTTTTATCTCATTTAGTGGACATGACAATCATTAGAGGCAGCTACATGAAAAAAGGATATGAACATAGTAATTTGAAGACCTAATTCAAGGCTACCACCACTTGTCACATCTGATGAGGATGTCAAATCTTACAAGAGAAGAGAATGTTACTAGGGTTCCTCTACAAGAACCACCCTTGGTAATAACATGGTAGTGCGCTCAATGAAAGGACATAGCAAGCACAAGGAAGTAGAAGACATAACACTACCATGTGATGACATAATGTATGCATGCATCAACATGACACTTGTGTGCATGACAAAACAGTGCACACGTGCATTAGCACGGCACTTGCACACATTAACATGACAATTGCACAAGAAGACACGATGATGTTATTTATGATTTTGACATGGTAACCTAAAGTCACAAGTATAGATGATGATGTCATGAGCATAACATCATCCAAAGGGGGAGAGTAGATGACATCACTACCCTAATGTCAATTTTTCTTTTTTGGGCTATTTACTTTGGGCCAAACTTCTCGGAGGTCACCCTCTTAGTACTTCATACATCATATTAAATTGGCTTGATAACTATATCAAGCCAAAGTCTTCAAAAGGTCACCTATCTTAGCACTTCACACACACAAGTACTTGTGGTCACAATCATAGTCATAATCTTTGTGAGCCAAAGGTGTCTCTCAGCACTTAGTCGAAGCAGCATATTTGAGTTTGTAGTACTTGATTCGATGTGTATAATAGAGGGGTGCCTCTCGGAATGTTCTTCAAAGATGGGTGCCTTGTGGTGCCTCACAGCATGATAGTGAAGGGATGCCTCTCAACACTTAGTTAGAGCAGCTTATCTAAGTTAACAATGCTTGCTTTGATGTGGGTGTCGAAGAGGTGTCTCTCAACATGTTTTTTGGAGATAGATGCCACATGGTGCCTTGCGGCACAATGACATAAGGGTGTCTTTCAATGCATTCTTCAAAACTGGATATCATGTGCCTTGTAGCACAATAATGTAGGGGTGTTCTTCAGCACATGTGGAGTGAGTGTCTCATGGCACATGCGTATGTACTTTAGGACTTCTAAAGAAGGAAACTCATCTGAATAGTTTTCCCACCCAAGCACACTTAACTATAGAGTATTTTTTTTATTATGTGATGACTCACCCACTTATAGGAGTCAACTTTGATATTAGTTGGAGTGAGAACTCAGCCCTATACTAAAATTATAAGGAATACTACTCAGGAGTCTAGCTATAAAGAGGGACACGTGGTCCCGTGTATGACTTACCTTTTGCTATTAAGAATATTTATTGAGTCACATTCTAGGTTATTGGGGATCTGATTGCCTAGT